CTTTGGTCCATTGAAAGTTACGTCAGGAATCTTGGCCAGGTTTCCATGATATTCGGTGTGGATATTCATAATGTTCTGGGCACTGGGGCAAACATTTCCTAATAATAATCCACTTTTGTTTTTTGACTTCTGACCTTTCCTCTAGTGCCGCCATCAGGACTAGGGGTGTGCCAATAAATCGATACAGCAATATATCGTTCATATTCATACATAAAATAAAATAATAGCGCTTTGACTGTTAGCTCAATACTAACATATGTTAGTGTATGTTATAACGTGCTAACGTACATTAACATTGCAATCGCAAAAATATAATTAAAGTACATGTGTTTCCTGAGCTCTGTGTGAAATAAAAAGAGCTTCTAACTTCAATGTCTTGATCTGCTACTTCTGCACTCCACACAGACTAGCTGCAGCAAACCCAAAGGGTCAAAACTCAAACCCAAAATTCCCTGGGGCCTTAAAATACAGCTGTCACGAGGTGTAGAAAGGACAGTAAAATGCTGTATCAATACAGCAATTTGTATTTTCAGCCAAAAATATAGTCAGTTCAGTGAATTTGCATGTTTATGTGCCTTTTTATAAAGAAATGTTTTTATAATAATTTTTCATCACTGCCCTTTAGTTATTTAGTTGTGTGGTGCAGAATTGTTCTATTTTCTAACACTTTTTCAAAGGCATTTTGTATTCATAGTTAGACAGAAATCGTGATGTGTCATTTTAGGATTGTCTAGCGATATATCAATAATCGCAGAATAGCTTATTATCATTATCGTGAGCCATGTATCATGTATCGTATCGTGAGGGACCCTGCGATTCCCACCCCTAATCAGGACCAGCTTTACATTCTTGGACTTGTTTTGTGTTCTGAAAAGGGAAGAGATTATCAGGTAATTACTTGAGACAGCAATAAAAATATATTGAGATCAAGCGAATGCACTTCTAGACGTCCATTATTTCCTACCAGTAATGATTACTGCAACAGCCCTATACTGTGGCAGACACATGTGAAATGTGTACCTTTTACAAAGTGTTTAACTTAACTAATACCCTTTGTGTTCTCCTCTTTATTTTTTTTAGAACTATGTCTTTTCAAATAGTCCATTTGTTTTAGTACATTTGCTAATTTCTTGAATACATAGAGAGCTAAAGGATGACGTCACCACACAGCAATCTGTTGGGATTGTCTTAAAGTGATGAATTCCCCACCTGTTGGAGAACAATGGACTGTGTGAGCTATAAACTTAACTTGGACTGGCAGTGAACTAGCTCACATGCTACATAGCGACTTGTTATTTTACCGCCATGTCAGATGACCAACCACATGAGTCACACATGGAAGAGAGGAAATGCCTTGTCCCTCCCAAGGCCAACACTGTTCGCTGTTGTTTTACAGCTGCGGCGTTTAAATTTCAAACATACTGTGTATATACCCCAGAGCTGGCAGAATAAATCACATTTTTAGTTTGGGGAATGTTTTGCAGAGATTTGAATTGGTGGAGCCATACAGAGGCTGAGAGGAAGTTAATGTATGAGATCACTTGGAAAGAAAGTCCCTCAGCCCGGAATAGATTTGTCAGGAAGTTGGGGTGTTTGACCTGGTTTTATAAATGCAGTAGGCATATGGTTGAATTTGTGTCATTGGGTAAATTTGCATGACATCTTGTGACTATAAGGAAGGAAACACTTGAAGAGATACGAAGGGAACGCAATGTGTCAGTGCCATTGCTCAAAGGCCCAGAGCAGGAACAGTGCACATGTGAGTCAAGCAGCAGTAGCTGTGGTATCCTTGAGCTTTAATTGTGTTTTTTCAGGGCTGGGTTTGTTTAGTCAGCGTTGTCCTACAGATTACACCAGCGCCTTTGGCCTTAGCAAATGACATCAAAAGACTTACAGTTAGGTGGACACTTAACAATAACCCCTTTGTGTGTATTGTGTCTAAAAATGTCTGTTCTAGAGTGCTGCTTATTCTCACAGTATTATGTAGCATTGTAAAAAAAAAAAATGTAATAAAAGTTAAATGAAACTAGGGATCCCTGTTTTATAGTCCTCACCAATTAACAAAACAAACCTATGTCCTTGATTCGTTTTTTATTTGTTTCTAGTGCGAAACAAAGACAGAGAGGTAAAGAGATGAAAACATTTAAATGGCAGCCTTGTGTGGTCAAATTCCTGCAGACAGGCACGAACACAATATGCTTTAGCAACATGGAGGAGAGGAAATAACAGAGCGCCGGTGTTTTTGGTTCTTTGTGTGTGTCCCCGTCATATAATAACCATCATAAAACAATTCAGAGTGAGAGAGAAAGACAGGGAGATAAAAAAAAAACAAGAGAACGAGCTTGTAACTGACTTGTGTTATAAATCTTAACTGAATGATTCAACTGACACAAATTTAAAAGTGGTAGTCCACAGTCCTGCTATGGTCTCTGGAGGCTGCATTGTTGATCACAATCTACTGAGGTGGGGATGGAACAAATGCTCGTTGGCAGTAGTGGAGCTACAAATGGACTTTTTTTCCTGAGGAAAGGCCATGAAGTGTTCACTGTGGGAATGGGTCAACCTCTGGGGAACATAAATGGAGTCATAGATTGAAATATTCCTTGTGTACAAGTGAAAATTTCTGCCTATTTGTTGCACTAGAGGAAAGGTCAGGAGGTCACCTTAACATCAAGCTACATCCTTTCAGAATCCAGAACAAAATTCAAAATCTCCAGAAATTCAACACGAGGTATGTTGTCACGGACCAAAGTGCATGAGTTGTGAGTTGACAGCGATGTGCGTCAGGAGGTCAGGGAATGACCAGATCACTGTGAATCATATTACCTGGCTGTTTGTAATTCTGTGTGTATGTGCGTGTTCATTTGTACATGTGAAGTCTCGTAGTTGTGTCTGATGTTACATGTAACCTGTAAGGCCTTTCACTTTAACTAAACTGAAGTTGTGAATTAAGGGCCAGAGGACAATCTGTGTAGTAAACCTCTCACCTCCATGCACAAACTGTGATCTCAACAGGATGACATTAATCCAGACCTTAACTCTAAGTGAGCTAATAATTATCACTGCATGTGTTTAAGAGGAGTGGAAAAACCTGCACACTTTCTTTATGTCCAGGTCTTAATGTTGGCAGATTGTATTAATTCCTTCAAGCCAGCAACACATGATAAAATCCCTCTTGTTGCAAAGTATGTGCATGGGCCTTTCAGACAGATCGTGACTGCCGCACTGCTGCGCCATGAAAGCCATTATTTTCAATGGCTTGCGCCACGGCAGGGCAGTTTTTTGTTGCGTTGAGCAAAGCGGAAGCGCACTGCTTGGCGAACTCGTGCGCATGCTATGGTCAATTTTCAAAATAGCTGAACGGTTTTGTGCTTTTTTATCTGAAAGGTCCATGGGCCCTCTCTGTGGGTTCTCCCTGGGGTGACATGACGACAGGTTCACAATGCAAAACATACATTGTTTCAACTGCAGCCTCAGAGGCTCTGTAATGGTATAGTAAACAATGTAATATAGTGCACTTGTCCCTCAGGTCACTACTAAAAGCATGCTGAGCTGTCAGTTATTGGTCAGACCTACAGAACTCAAACTTCAGGATTAGCCACTTTTCCCTTTTGCATGTCATTCTAAATTAAATCTTTCTGAGTGTTCTGAAGACACTTAACCCCTAGTTGCTCCAGAGACGTGCGACCGATGAATAAAAGGAATGTAATGTGGGCTGTTGATCAGATGCAACAAGCACTTTGAACACTTCACTTTTGGTGCTTTTCCATTACCAGTACCAGCTCAGCGTTCTCCATTGCAGATAGTACCCCTCAATGTAGCTGGTCGACGCCACACACACAACTGCCGCGACGTAATGTTCAATGCGACACACACACCAGCGATCCACACAGCTTTCTCTTTAAGTTAAATCGTTTCAACATTGCTCAGAATGTAAAGACAGATAAGCGGTATGAAAAGCTTCCAGCTGTGTTTTCCTCTGCCGTTGTTGCTGCAGCGGTCTGTGTGACGGCGGGAGCAGAGGGCTCTGTGAGCGGGCGGCTGGCCGGCCTCACACGCTCCTCCCGCGGGTTGGTGCACGCTTCCCCCGCAGCCACGTGCGGAGCTCCGAGTCGGGTCGAGCTGGTACTGTGCAGTGGAAAAGGGGATTTTGTGCTCTGGGAAATAGTAACAGGCATCTACTTTCTTCTGACATTTTATAGACTAATTGATAATGAAAATAATAATTTGCTGCAGCCCTGGTCCAGTTTGCAAAAACACCAATTTTCTGTGAAGTGTGTGGAAAGTATGCAAAGGAAGACATGAACAGTGTACTCATGATAACGGGGAATTTGGGTTTGAATTTTCCACTCAGTATAAACCATGAGACAAAGAAACATTGAAACACTCACTCCACCACTGTGAAGGAGCAAAATAGTGGATCTCCAGTGGATAGCAGTGCTTTTCCTAGCTGCCAATATGCTGGACACAACATGATACACAGCACACAAGATACTGTCAGAGTGGCATAAGAATATTTTTGAAACCATAAAGATATACTATAAGGGAATAAAGGGGAATCAGTGCTGTTGGTTTTCTGATGAGGGCAGTCTCATTATAACTAATAAGCTAAAAAGAAGAGGGTGATTAGCTTAGCTGATAACTCCTAGGACAACAGCGGGAAGCATATTCTACTGTTGTAACTGGTTGTATTTTGTTATGTCATGTGCAATGTGAAGTATTTATAAATGTGTAGCTTCCTTTGTCTTTACACAGACTAAACATCTCAGTTGTCGGGGATCACACAGTCCAAGCTGTATCATTCAGCATTTCTATATACTTTAAGAGTCAGTCATATTGTATAGTATGATCATGAGTTCTTTAAGCAACAAGTACATGTCTCTCCAAAGATCAAGGGTAGTGGGTATGTAAGGCAAGGTAGTCAGCCAACACGTCATACATGCTAGTTCTTCTAAATGTATCTAAATGCATGCTGTTCACTAGTGTTTCTCTCTTTGCAGCTTGTCTTTTTCGCTACAACATCCTGTCGCTGGTTTACTTCCTCTACCTGCTGCTGCTGCCATGGTTCCTGTGTCCCAACAAACACACCATCAGAGGTAAGACCATCAGTGTTCGTATGCAAGATCTCTCATGGTATTTAATACCTTATTGTTTTTCCTCAGACTGTACTGTAACTTCAGGAAGCAGTTTGGCTGTAATCAGGCTTCTCTGGTGTTCATTCTCACTCATGATTTGCTTGTGCATGTTATGATATAAGATAATAAGCATTTAAAGCTGCACAGGCAGAGTTGCTGCCCAAAGACTCTCTGCTACAGTTCTGCCTTCCTTTAATACAGCTGACAGGAAAGCTGGGTGCTTAGTGAATGAAAATGCAAGTTTTATTTCATGCACTGGTTGAGACATGGCTTAAAGGGAAAAATATGTATTTTTTCCCAACCCTCACCCTTGACCCTAGTTTCCCATGTTTTTGTGACAAGTGTATTTGACATTGGTCCAGTATTAAGCAAGCACACTGTTGTCGGCAGCCCCGAAACAGAGCTGCAATGTAATTCTTCCAGGCAATTGCAGACCATCAATGTATGACCACTAAAAGTGCTTAACCAGAAACAGCCGTTATACGAGTTATATCGCTTTCAAAGCCACCAGACCCGTCGACAAATGCAGAGGGGATGTTTTTTATTTCATATTTTAGTGCAATTAATAACTGTTCCAGGGCCGAAGAAAACGAGGAAAGGAGTACATTTGCAAAGCAAAGGGTAAAAAAAGTGTCTCTTAACGTTCAATAAACAGAAAACAACTACATCACTACACCTAACCACAGGACTCCCACTGTTGCCACTGCTGGTTACAGTCCCGGCCAACTGCCACACACTCACCACCGACTCCAAACACTCAGTAACGCTGTCTCTTTCGCTGTAGACCACCATATTCTCACCCCAGCAGCTTCCACTGATTAGGAGAGTGGAATCAGCCGCTTCTGGCTGCAGCATTGGGGGCGGGGCAAGGTCCTGCTGGTGGAAGAGAGGGAAAACACACAAACACAACACCCCATATACACATAAATGGTCCACGGGTTGTAACAACACTTTATGAAGTTTCCTACATACATTGAAACATAAATAGCCTTTACAGCCTCAGAGGGATTCTGTATGTGATCAGGAGAGGTAGTCAGGTCTTCACTGCTGATCGACAGAGGGTGCGATACAGGACTTTGATGCTTATGAGAGGCAGTGAACTGAATGTACATTAGGCGCCCTGTTATTCCTTATGTCTCTGTCTCCTACTGCTAGTAGGATATGCTATGAATATTCCCAGAATAATGCACATGTATATATATATCTGCAATGTTGTTCTACAATTCCATATTTATATATTTCTACATTTATTTATGCTGATTGTGTGTTTGTCTACGTGTAGCACCTTATCACCACAGCAAATTCCTCGTATGTGTAAAACACTACTTTGCAATAAAACGCCTTCTGATTCTAATCTAAAACCTAATCTGCATTCTGCTGAGGTGTGGTCATGGCTTCCTTTACACAGCAGCTGGTTGGTTGGACTTGACATGACGGGGCAACACAAAACCTGTCTGGTCTCATGCGGTATGAGACTGTAACCCGTTACCTAGCGGACAGTAGGCCAGGGAAGAGGACTAACAAATCAAAAAGAAGCCAGTAATGGTGGATGGTTGGGATCAGAGCTAGCTGCCTCACCCTGTGCTATACATGAATGTATAGGAGAGCTACAGGTAGAAAAACAGCAGTGCTAGTCGAACCTGTCTTCTGCATTTGGCCAAACATTCTCATCCACAACAACCATATGTCCTCTCTTGCAATACACCTGGGAAAAGGATCTTTGCCTGTTTGATCCATTTCTGGCAATTTTCTGCAGATATGCAGACAACCAGCATTTATTGTGTCCGAGAGGGACATCTGATCATGTGGCTGGTGGTGATAAACTTTACACCTCCATGAAGAAAATTATTCCTCTTTGGGGGTGAAGAGTGGAGAGTTAGTGTAAGGAAAATAACACCATGCTGGGATCGGCAGTAAACACTGGAAGAGATGGTAAAATATTGTCCCATACTGTTCGAAAACCTCATGGATTCTGCCTCACCTGCCCGCTTTTTCCTATCTGGCAGAAGTCTTTCATTGAAGTCATCAAGGAATGAAATGAGGCGCTCAGTGTCTAAATTAGGAGTTTATGCAAATTATTTTTAGTTATGTTTATGAAAGTAAATTTAACAGTTTTGACAATAGTATGTTAACGTGTGCAAAATGGAGTGTAAATACACAGAGGTTTGGTGGTGATTGGGTTTGAGGGAGAAAAGAGTTTGAAAACGTCCTATAGAGAAATGTACGGAAGCCCTGAGGGGCAAGTTAGAAAAACATTCTGGTGATCTGTTGTTTTCTCTCCTGTGTTTATGAATTAAGAACAGGTGACCAAAAAGGTTTTCCAGGATAATTATTCCTCAATTTTTTTTTTTTATCTGTGAAACATGAGAAACGTGAAAAAACTGCGAAAACACAAGGTACATACAGTACATTGTGTGCCAAAATAAAGATATGACAGTAATGTTACATAACTTGCTAACACACAATACGTGCCTTGTGTTTAGAATGCCTGGAGGAAAACTCATCTGGAAGAAAACATGAATGCTTTTCCTCCTGTTTAGAACACGAGGTAGTTGTGCACTACAACGTCTTCTGGCCGAAATGGATATTACAACAACAAACACAAAATGATCCTGACCAAAAACATTTTCACCTGAAAAAACCTTTTTCCACCTGTTTTCACAGATGAAAATAAAGTTATCCTGGTATCAGACGGATCACCAGAATTTTATTTTCTTATTTGCCTCTCAGTGTTTCTGTAGAAATGTAACTTAACAGTAGTTTGTACCACCTGGAGTTCTTCTCCAGGTGGTTGTGTGTGTTTGCTGTTTGTTGAAGTTCACTTCTTTCCTTTCTGTGTATTCACACTGCCTCTTCTGCTTTACTTTATACTTTTTATAATCTGCATTTCATTCAGGAGAGACTTCATTTAAGAGTGACAAAATAAATGCATCGACATGGTGATCAATGAAAGTTTAGAAATGTGAAGAGTCTTTGGCGATTAGACTCGATCATGACGTTATCATTTTTTAAGGGGGAGTACCTCTAAGGGATAACCCATTAGCCTGCCAAGACCCTGACATGTGCACAAACACACACACACACACACACACAAGCTCATATGGTCACACACACCAGAGAGCTGTGAGTGAGTGTGACTAATAGGAAGCAGCACTGTTGATCTCTGACGAGAATTCAGAAACAGTGTAAGTCAGAGCTGGATATTACTCAACAACTGGCATCATGTACCAGACTTCTATACTTACTCGTCCTTTTAGAAAGGGATTGAAGTTTTTAGTCTGCATTTGGTGATGTCTCTCCATCATATCTTCGCAACTTCTGTTCATATTGTTCTGAAAGTCTGGCGTTTTATGGGTCTCTGCAGTGATGTCTTGACGATTCATCAAAATGTTTTTTTACCAACAGTTGGAAAAGGTGTCTTATCAACGAATGGTCACCTTCCTAATACTTATATAGACTTTATATTTTTGTAGAGCCCTGAACCTCATTTTGTCTTTCCTAAAGAATAATCTTTGCTCAGTGCTGAAATCTAACTCTGTGCCAGATTTCCATTCTACTTCATTGCACTTAAGTCATGCATGGCTCCTTCCTGATTCTGAGTTTTAAAAAGCCATAATGTGTCACACAGGTACTTTGGGTGCATTTGGAAGCTTGCATTACACTAATAGCACCTGAAAATGAAAGCTCACCGCTAATGTTGACAGTTGTGTGAACACAGATCACAGCTGTTGATGAAATTTTGTAGGCACATACATGTCCTCCTCAAGATGAAGTGTAATCAATTCAATTCAAATTAGCTTTACTGGCATGAATGTAATAACAACATTGATCCTCTGGCGTTTCGTCTAGTGCCAAAAATGATACTTAACATCAGCGTGTTAGCATTGTTATTGTGAACATGTTAGCATAGCAATTGAATCTGAGTCTTGTTTATCAGCGGGTATGCAGACTGGTTTAAGTCTACTTTCTTATCTGATGTTTTGCTGAAGTATCTACCTCCATACTGTAATCTAGTTTGTTCTTTGTGCTGTTAACTGGACCGTCGGATACACTGTCACTGAGACAAATGATAGTTTGAGACATGAAAAGACAGTGTTGAGATGCACCTTGCCAGGGCATAAATAAAAGATGAAAGTTGTTTGTGTTGCATGTGTTAACAAGTCCAAACGAGATTCAAGGCCAAGCTGGAATAAAACTACTCAAGTGTCATGGCTCACCCGCTTTGAATACAAGATCACATTGCAGAGGTGTCAGAAGGAGGGAGGGTGCCCATTCTGCTCTGTGTCTGCTAGATTTAGAAGGTATTTGTTTGCTAAGACCCATTAATCATTTACATTGTTAGAATACTTAAAGGGGCAATATGTAGTTTTCAGAATCCACTAGCAGTGCGATTTTAAGATTGCAACCAGGCGTGTGCTCGTGCTCCTGCTTGAACCATGGGCTTGAACTCATGAGCGAGAATAAGCTGAAACACAACCATATTCATACAGATATCCAGCAATAAACGCGGAAACACTGGCATGCCAGCTGTGGCTTTTCACACAGACATGTTCATGCTCTGTTACGTTCCCGGCTCATACAGCGTAGCTATTGGCTCCCGGAAAAAAAGGCAATGTGACAGCGGCTATAGACAGACAGGGACACAGGTTCACACAATGTGCTGGAAACTCAGGTAAACTCCTACTGCAACGTCACCCTAATATTTCCACATTCCACAATCAGCTTGAGGTTGAACTAATCCATGCTGGTTACATGATAACGTTACATTTATTGCTTTTAGCCAAGGTGATACATTGCTATTAGCTCACCTGTCTGATTTTCATATGAAAATTATAATGAGATTGTTACCCACTTTAGAACAGTTAGACCGCAGTATGTAACATTACTGTATTGAATGTTGTCGCCGCTTTGTTGCAGTATTGTATATTATGTGTTCTATGTTAGCTAAGCTGCCAACTTTTCAGTTTAGTTTGGAGTGAGATTCTGTATTGGAGGTCGGTTCATTTTAGGCCCTCTGTGTCATATCCCAACGCAGGGGTCGGGGTCGTCACTCTTTAATGTGCATGGCGCAGCCACATGTATGCGTAGATGAAAAGCCAAGTCATTAATCATGGTCAGATCAATGTGATCAGGATACTTGCCAAGCTCCAAACATGATGGCCTTAATTTTGAGTCTTCCCCCCAGAATCTATGTGTCAAACCAGTATTTCTTTTAATTCTGGAGAGTGTATGGAATATTATAGTTTATAATGAGCAAGAGCGTAGGTCTTCCTTTAGCAACGTAGGAGCCACCTATTTAGTGGGGGGTCTGGGGGTGAATTTTTCTGCATCAGTTTGTGGTGGAAATGTATTTATCTAGGCTATGTCAATGGAAACACAAAACTCAGGCAGCAGGTGACAATTTAAAATATAAAATATACCAGAATATCATTCAGTAGGCTTTCAAGCATTCTGTATTTCAATGGCAACTTTTCACCGCAAGGATAAATGAATTCATTTTAATTCAGTTAGAAACTCTTGAATCTACTGAATCTTAAAAAATCTTTGCATCTATTGCACATATCTGTGTAATCTGACATCTCCAGAAAGATTTTTATGAGAATAATGTCATCATTTAATCACAATTCATAATATTTTTCTAAATCTCCCCGCCCTATAATCTGCTGTTCATTACTTGCTCTGCTGATATGATAGAATCCCAGACAGGCAGACACAGAGCCCGTTTGGGACTGTATGTAGGAGACCTGTGCAAAACGAAACTAACTGAAAACACTTCACCACAAATACACATGGTAACTTCAGCAGCTTTGTACAGCTCACATTACCAAGAGAGCAAAGCTGTGCTTTAGATTATACATTTTTATATTGCAGAACTCTACCAGCTACATTACGCGACGACAAACTGTCTGCCACTCACTGTGCGATAGCGGTTTCGCTTGATTCCTGTCATTCCTGGAGTGTAATCGCGCAGAGTCGACGCAATTAATTATAGGATAACGTTACATTAGTTTTTCCAATGCGTGAGAAAATTGATGTATGGCGTGAGGGCATCCTTTCTTGCAGGCTAAATCAACACTTTGACATATTACCGGTGGTACACCAGATAGTAAGCTGGTGAAGTAATGTGGAAACGTTGCACCAGATAACGTTTACAGCTGCTCAGCGTTAGCCATTAAGCTAACATGACTCTCCGTCCAGCATTTCTGATGTTCACTGTTTTCACTCGACATCATCTGATTCTTGTTTGGCCTGACAGGCTTCATCACATAAACCTTCAGTGTTTTTTTCTATCTTTACGTGGAGTTTAAGTCTGAGTGTGTGGTGTGCTAGGAGCAGCTTGTTAGATGGTGTTAGTGGACTGCATGTCGTTAGTTGTGGTGTTGTTGCTGTAGTTGGAGAGAGGCTTGGTATTGTGCACGCAGCTACATCCTGATCCGATGCCTTAACATGAAAAGCAGAATAGTGGCTGTTCCAAGCAACAGTGAAAACAGGCGAGTGCTACAGCACATTGACAAAAAGTCAGTAAGAATTTGATTTATTAATAGGTGATTACATTGAAAAACTACACATAGTCCCTATAAAATGTTTGCTGTCTGTTTTTATACCTTTCTTTGGACTATGTTAAATAGTCAGTAGAATTCTATATGTCACATACAGTATTATAAAGGTTGAATTTTCTGAAAACATGTACTGTATGTCTAAATGTCAAATGTTGTTTACATGTTCTCCATGTGGTGGATGTCAAAGTCCAGTTCCCTCCCATGTAGGTCTGATAAATTAGAGACTCTAAATTGCCCGTAAGTGTGAATATGAATGTAAATGTTTGTCTGTAAGTATCAGCCCTGTGATAGACTGGTGACTTGTCCAGGGTCCAAGCTTCAGCACCCTGCGACCCTGCAGAAGATCAGCAGATAGAGATAATGGATGGATGGTTTACATACATCATGGTTAACTTAAAATACCACAAGGTTTTGGACAGGTGTGAATGAGATCAATTGAACATAAACAACAAAAAATATGGCAAATATGTCCGTGTATGTGTTCTCCCTGCGCTATGTATGTGTGTTCAGAAAGTTTGTGACAGTTTGGAGTAGATGTGAACTGTTAACGCTCACTGTGTTTATATCCACACCCCAGGATTGACTGGTTTGACCTCGCTAATTTATTAGGCTGCTGAAAGCCTCTTCGCTGTGGATCTACTGACAGCCTGTCATAGGTTTCATCACCACTTTATTGTGGATCATACTACTCATACACACCTCGCCCTATTAAATCTAACACTGCTGTAAGGGGCGGAAGTTAGAGACACTAAGAGAGAAAGAGACCGCTTGACGTGACATTTTACATTCCCAGTTCACTCATTAATGGCTGACTCCTTAAATAAATAGGAATGCAGATCTGACATACTGCAGCTGAGGACTGTAGAGATTCGGCAGCAGTGAGGCCACGCTCAGGACTGACACCTGCTGTGCTTATAATGTTTTAAAGTGTATTCAATTTCCTCTGACTGCTACAGATGGCGAGGTTTGGCAGTCAGTCCAGTACTCTTCACAGAAACGCATCACCACAACTACTGGCCAGAATGCCATGACGTTTGCTATGGAATAGCATTTCCACCATCAGGCCAAAGTTTCACTTTGACCAACACCTTGGCTCATAATAAAGTACCTTAAAAACGTAAATTTCTGAAACATTTATAGTGGATACTCATCCCCACATGAGTAGGACAAAAATATAATATAATGTAGTGGTAATTCCTCTTGATCATATTCAAATTTGATAATTATGATCATTCTTAACTGATACAAAGTTGAAGTTGAGTGATTGACACACAACTTCGGCTATGAGAAATAACCAAGATGTATACTAAATAACAGACAAAAGGCCTGGGCTGTGTGTGTCGTCTGCATGTAATTTAATGAAGGTAAACATAGCGGATGGCCGTGTGTAACAGCACTGCACTCTGGCTCAACACTTCTCAAATCGGACTAGGCTACAACCGCTTTCTACTAATAGCCTGCCGATTAATAAAAGGAGGTCAATCAGTCATAACTTTGTATTGTAGCGTAGCCAGCACTGCACATTGCAGTTCTGCATAGCAGCCCCTTTGTTAATAATCCCTGATCTAATCTGACCAAATCCACACATACTAATTAATGTACACAAAACAAAACGAGATTGTTTTTTACATAAAAAAAAACTTTATAAGTATGTAATTCTGTCAGCTGCCTTTCCTGCATGCTCTCTCTATGTCTCACAAAAAAACGTTTTATTGATAAACAAACGGAATAGACATTCGAAAGCGTTGTGGGGAAGCTACGATAGGGAAATCCGCCATAGCGCCGGGCACGATGGACCCCCATATAACCCTACGTAGAAGAAGGAGATGAGGAGACGGGACAGAGAAAGGGGTGGGCGGGAGGGGTGCGGAATGCGAGAGTGAAGAAGAGGAAGTGCGTTGTGTGGGTATTTATGGAAAGCCGGGAGTGACGTAATTGATGTGTTGTCCCGCTCCTGAAACTCTGCTGGTAGCAACACTTAATACGCCTTTCATGCTTACCACCCTGCTTTTTTGTCCAGAACCACCATCGGGTCAAGATGTCCTTGATCATCACTTTTCAAGGTTAATTCTGTAGTTACGTATTTGGGGGCCTTCGTTGTCATGGTTAGAAAAATAACCACATGGTTGAGGTTAGGAAATGATTGTTGGTCATGGTTAAAAGAAACCAACCTCGACTGGCGGTTGGAAACGAGAACTGAAGTTGTTGAGCCATCCATCCACCCCAACCTCCTCCCTCTGCCGACTATACATACTGTAACGCTCTGTGATAACCGGACTTCTTCCTTTGCTCCCGGCGGGCAAGAGTCAGAACTTATATGGCTTTTTCTCTTGAATGAAAGCATCTGTCATTTTGGGCCATTTTCTGAAGCAATAGATGCTGTTTTTACTTTGGAGGACAGTCTAACATGGTTGACTGGTGAAGGCTATGTACTTTTGCATTGCTCCCTTAGACATTAAAAGATAGGTCTGGTGTTAGGTCTATATTTTTCTTATTATCTACAAATCCCACGTCTGAAGACGTACATCTTTAAAAACACCTCACAAATATAAAGTTTCATTAAAAAGAAAGACTCAGTAATTATCTAAAACAGCTACTCACTTTAGTTTGAACAAATGTCACTAAAACTGGAGGAAACGGCATTTGATTTCACTGGCAAATTAATCCAGATGTGGTGCTCTAGGGAGTATTTGGGGCAGCAGGACGGTGTATATGGGATTAGGTCAAAATAAACTAAAGTTGTAATAGTTTCTGGACAACAGTGGATCTTTATTTCATAGCGGAAGGAGATATATCAGTCTTGGGATACACAAACAGTGCTGGTTATTAGAATACATTCATTGTTGGTTTATCCTTGTTGGTTAAAGTTGCTGTTTAAGTTTCACTTTTGATGGTGCTACGGTAGTAGTGTCCAATTTCTACTGGTCTTTGTGCCAAGCCAGACTCTAGGTAAAGTGGTTAACACAAGGGTTTTATCAACATGCCAGAATGTTACTTTAAAATACTCTCATTTAGTGTATTTAGCCCTGTATTTATGTGACTGTACTGAACTCTGTTTCCTTAGGTCTGATCTCCATCCTCTCTCTCTCTCGCCTCTTTGTCTTTCAGGGCACACAGGTCGGTTTATCAAAGCGGTATTCTGTACCAGTCTGCTGTTTGTGCTGGCTCATATCTGCTTCCAGACAGTGCTATACACCTACCCTCCTCTCAACATCGCCATAGGTGATAACTGTTCACAATGGGACACCATAACCAGACATATAGGACTGTCCAGGTATGTATCTAGTGTTTGATTAAGTGCAGTTAACCATGTCACTGTCACTGATGGTTGGATGACTGATCGGGGGAAAGGGTGTTGATCAAAATAGGAGAGTTTGTCTATCCAGATAATAGTTTGCTATGGTGCAAATTTGATGTTCATACATTACAAGTAATATAAGACGAGCACATTATCAGTTGTATACACAGAATAAACATAACACACAATATAGGGTACAGAACATTAACTAAACAGCAGCAATGCAGATATAATACAAAATACAAATCGACAATCTCAGCATATATAGTGCATATCAATGTTGAATGAAAGCACTTGGAAAAACAGGGATTGTGCAAGGTAATAAAACCTGAGGCAAAATCTGTGAACATATGCATGTGTGTGTCTTGCAGGCTTCCCCTGGATGATCCTTGGAGTGTGTTACGCCTTCTGTGTCCTGACCTGGGTGTGTGTATGGTTGCCTTGGTAACAGTCATCCTCTGCAGCAGACTGGTCAGGAACAGAGAGATGGTGGCTGCTGCCAACATTACATCGGTGAGTCTGTGTGTGTGTGTGTGTGTGTGTGTGTGTGTGTGAGACACACTGTGTTTGATAAATGCTGTGGATTATCAGGTTCATGATCAGATTTGCACTCGCAGTAACTGGTTTAGTTGCCATAGTAAGTCATTAAACAAGAGTTCTGCTCAGACCTAAATGATACTAACACTGTCTTTATTGTTCTGCCTTATGACGAGCTCCATGTTGATGAGTAAATAATAGAACTGATAAGGCAATTGTCTAATCTTTTCGTTGTATATTAGATTATTTGCTGCCAAAACTGGTAGGCTTATGCCTGGGAATTATTGAAATGGTTTGATAAATGGCTCAGCAGTAGGTAGCTGTGTTTTTGCATCTTTCATAATTTCTTCTTGGGCACGCCTTCATTTTCCCTCAGCCCTAAAAGCAAGTTTCAAGTTTATTTTCACTTTTTTATGCTAAGCCGCGCCTCAGGCCTTGTTAATAGCAATGTTGTACAATGTGTTTGTATCCTGTTGTGCTGTCTGCTGCTGTATGTTAAACTCTGTGTGTGTCTACGTAATGTTAATGCAGGTCTGGATTAAATTAGCCTCAGTGACTTAATAGTTATTTGCCCTGTTTAAAATTTGACATACCTTGTTTTGTACGAAAGCTGAATTATAGCATAATGAAACTATAGGAAGTTTCCAAAACCAATACTTAATTCGTCTTTTTAGTGGGCTGCCACAACAGTTACCAAGGTAACCGAGATTCCCTAATCTCAGGCATAACAAACTCAGAGTCTTCACTAAACCTGCTTTCTGAAACAGGGCCCAGACCTGCAATGTGTAACGTTGAAATGTGGCAACATGCAATAAGAAAAGCAGTAGAATCTGTGTCTAAGTGTACCATTAAACCCCTGGGCGTTTGCCCTAACATAAACTAGACATGTACTGCAGTATAAGCAGTGTGATAGCAGCAGGGATCCTGTAAAACTTTCCATACACTTATATTTAGACTTAACATTTCCGTATGCAATAAAGAAGAATCCCACAGAAGTGAAACCAAAAATTCTGATTTATATAAACAGTAAGAAAAGCCTATTACTGCATAAAATCTTGCGCCTGTATTTGGGGACAGCTCTGTCAGTAGTGTTGCTCAGTCGAGGGAAGCAGACACAGCGGTTTATGGATTCCTCTGCAGGTGACCCATGTAAACACAGCGTTACTTGTATGTTTACAGAACCCACCACACACTACAGTACATAAATAAATGATCAGTTCATACATTCATTCCAAGGGGAAAAAACATATCCAAATATAATTTTGTCATACTGCATATTACAATGTATAACATTACTAGGAGGGTGTGAGTAAAACCACGTGTCTGAGAACATTTGCCTTTTATCACTACTTTGCCTTTCCTTTTCCATGTTATTTGGACACATGCTTCAGAAAGCCATGGAAAGATCCTGATAAATATTTTGTAACTCCCAAGAATATATATATATATATATATATATATATATATATATATATACACACTAAACATAATTAACACAAACTCCAATAAGGCCTATTTCTTTCTCTCAAATATTGTTCACAAATCTGTCAAAATCTGTGTTAGTGAGCACTTCTCCTTTGCCGATATAATCCATCCACCTCACAGGTGTGGCATATCAAGATGCTGATCGGACAGCATGGCTATTGCACTGGTGTGCCTTAGGCTGGCCACAATAAAAGGCAACTCGAAAATGACCTACATGGAAATACATTCTCGTGCAGTCACTGCATCTGCACTGTCTGTAACTGAGAAAAACATACACAGTTGTAATATAATGTGTGATATTATACAGTACTTTAGTAACTGTAACTTTCTTTTTGTCCCTCTCCCACCTTAGCTAGAAGGTGATCCAACAGACAAAACCACAGATGATGAGGAGGAGGAGGAAGAGGAAGAGGAGGAAGAGGTATCAGGAGATGAAGATGAAGAAGAGAGGTCATTAACTGGTGAACCTGACGAGGAGGTTTCCACAGCAACCAGAGCCAAGCAGCTGGCTGAGCGTCTGAAGGCCACAGCCCGGAAAGTTCTGCGGGACCTGGGGAGAATCTTGGCCGTCAGCCTGCTGGCGTTGGCTGGTAGGATCAGAGGACAGATCCCTGATGACATTGTTTTATAAATCTTTTATTGAGTCCGTCTTTACTTTTTCATGTATTTGCTGGTATGCTTCTCTTAGTTTAAAACGGAAAAACACATTAGCAATGGTAAATAAAGTTAGCAGCAAAATCATTGGGATTCAGCAGATAAAACCCATTGGTCTGACCCTGTATTTTAATCGATGTTGTCGTCTTTGTTGTTATGTACTGTGTGTCAACTTCTTTGCTACTGCAGCAAAACTAATTGCCCCTCGGGGACAAATAAAGGTCTTGAACTTGAACTTGAACAACACTACCTACTCAGGTTTCCACCCAGTTTGTAAAGTGTGAGCACAGTCCAGATAGAGGTATTTAGTTCACACTGGGTGCTCACATTCAAATTTCTGCTCCAACAACATTGCTGTCCATACACTTATAGTGAAGAAGATGTGTGTTTGACTTTAAGTAGCATAGCAGGGCTGCAAAATGAAATGAAAGTTGTAGCCCTCTTTCACGCTACACTCACAGAACATATATACAGTTTATTTTTTTGCCCACAGATTTCCACAGTATCCCTTGGACAAAATTTTACAAATAAATGAAGGGAAGTCACAAATATAACGTGACCCACAAATGGACAGGAAATGATCCACAAATGTGCACAACCCATTTCACATGTACAAATCGCTCCCTACAAATGTAAAAATACATGTTTACATGGGTACACATTTGTGGATTGTCTTCTGTGGGTTACAAATAATGGTCTATTATATTCAAACAGTAAATTCCAAGTTTTCCACTCATTTGACAGAAGGTATTTAAAAATCCAGTTGTATGAATGAGTGTCGGTCTGTGTGCATCATGTTTGTCTCTGACCTCTCTTCCTTTTCTCTCCCAGGCATCACACTGCCCTCTGCCTTCTCGGCCATCTACTTCCTGCTCTTCATCGGCGTGTGCACATGGTGGGCATGCCACCTTCCCATGAGTTCCCTGGGTTTCAATGCACTGTGTGTGATGGTGGGCTTCTTCACTTCTGGTCACATGGTTTGTCTGTACTTGTACCAGAGTCTGCTGGCCCAGGCCCTGTTTCCCCCACACAGTCTGTGGGCCAGGTAAGACGATAGATGCAAAAGGTATACGAAACCAGGAAATGTTTATAAAATGTATAACTCTATTACAAGTTAAGAAGACAGGTAATTCACACACATTCAACTTTATTAAATCAATGCACAATTGTCATTAATCAGCATAAAACAATATGTTACAAGGTACAAGGTAGATTTATTTTTCACAGTCCAAAGGGATGTAGAGTGAAATTGAGTTTGTAACTCCATTTTGCTACGTAGCAGACAATATACATTAAAGAAAAGCAATTATAAAAATGGCAAACAGAAATAAACTATATTCAATGGAGCAGTACTGAGGATGAAATAGAGGCTTTTTAGTAAATTTAGTATCCTTTGGGCTCTGCAGACACCTCTCCTCACCGATATCACTGATGCTCAGGAGATGGGTATCAATGATCTTCTGAGCAGTTTGAATCCCCCCCCTGCAGAGCCCTCCGGTCCTGGGCCGTGCACATCCCATGTTAGTGATGTTCCCAGTCAGGATGCTTTCTGTTGCTCCTCTGTAAACGCTGACAAGAACTTGGCGAAGGAATTTGGCCTTCTTAAGCTTCCTCAAGAATTTTTTTTTTCTGAGCTTTCTTCACCAGCGTGGAGATGTGAGACGACCATGTCAGGTTCTCTGTGATGCTGATTCCCAGGAACCTAAACCTGTTCACATGCTCCACCTCAGCTCCACTGACTTAGACAGGAGTTTGTGTCTTTATCTCCTTCCATCCTCCTCCTCCTCCTATCTTCCTTCTTAAAATCAAAGATCAGCTCCTTAGTTTTGCTGTCGTTGAGCAGTAGGTTGTTCTCTGAGCACCACACTCCAAGATTATCAATTTCCTCCCGATACGAAGTCTCATCGTTGTTTGAAATCTGGCCGATGATGGTGGCTTTGCCTGCAAACAGAGATCTCTCCATGTCGGGGGATGGAGTCGGGGTGTACAGTGTGAACAGGAGGGGGCTGAGCACACAGCCCTGGGGGGCTCTGGTGTTGAGCACTAGAGAGGAGGAGGTGTGTCCACCAATCAGAACTATCTGGGGTCTGTTTGTGAGGAAGTCCAATATCCTGTTGCAGAGTGTTGAATTTAAACCCAGAGTGCTGAGTTTACCCCCAGCTTCATGGGGGACTCCAGACTCGCTAGTCGCTAGACGCTAGTGACGCCCAGATGCTCTTGCGTAGCATAGATTTTGAATTGATTCTCTGCATGAAGATCGCCACACCTATCTTCTCTGAGACTTCCACTGCTTCTTCTTCACACCAGAGAGAAGACCTCGATCTGTCATTGTAATACACCATTGTGGAAGGGATCATGGAAAGGGTGAAAGCATTGAGGAAAGAAATTCAGGCTGCTTTCAAAAGCCAAAGAACAATCAGGGGCAGCTGGCATTGAGGTCCCTGATGAAATACCTAGACAAGCCAAATACAGGTACCTCAAAGTTACACGTACGGTTCCCAATACAGAGGTATTGGGAACTTAGAAGATGACACCCCAACTGGGGCAATCCCATAGGGTCTTCACTGCCTTACCATCTAAAGTCCCTCTAAAGACATGGCAGATGACAGAGTCGTCCTATCTGTTAGAAAGGTTTTATATCATTTTTTCCATGCCACACAAAGTATAATCTTAAATTCAGAAAGTATATATTCATCTCCATTCTAGGCCAGGTCTACATACTGGAGAAGCATAGTCACCTCCATGGGTGCTTTTTTCATTACGCTTACTTGTGCTTCCTCACCTTCCCCCTTCACCATCTTCCAATCCTATACCACTTCAGATATATTGTTAATATAGAATGTATAATATAATTGCTAAGTGTTCTGGCATCACAAAAAGCAGCATTTTTTTTGTTGTTAAAATACACATGTGCTGATTGGCCCAAAAGGAGCTCTGTGAATCTGCACTCAACTGCTCTTCCTCAACAACCAGATGTGTGTCTCAATCACCTGAAATTGAATTGCAAGAACTGAATATGAAAGTATATACAGAGTTGAATTTTCAGTGAGGATCGAATACAGCTCCACAGCAATTGAATACAGTTTCATAATATTATGTTCAGTTTCATGTTTATTGGAATTCACTTCCAAGTTCCATTCCAAAAGATGATCTTCAGATTCAGTTATTTGATGCAGATTTTCAAGTTAAACAATTAATTCAAATTCAGCTTCTAGTAACACATATTTCCGCCCATACTGGTAACAAATGCGTGGCTAGAAACTTTGGAAAACGAGTAGCCACAGTGGCTGGTGAGCAAAAAAGTTAGTGTCAAGCCATGTGTATATGTGTGTCTGTCAGATGCTGTAAGGTTTTGAAAATGTTCTCATAAGGGTTATGTGGACATTCGTACCAGTAGGTTTGACCGGAGAAACAGCTGTGCAGCTCATCATAAGTAGTTGTGCCACTGACGCTATGGAACCAAAAGCAGCTTTCGGCTCCTCCGTCCTCGCATCTCCTCCTCTCTCACGTCCTCGCTGGGAGGACGCTAGTGAGGGAGACACGTTAACGTAACGAAAAGTGTGTCGTTTTTACTCCCACCATGTTGCCTGCTGTCTTCACAGTTTATTGAATAACAGATGATATTCCTTAGCCAGAGGGTTCAAAGACCATGTTCCTTCCTCTCAGGAAACCTTCAATTTTCAGGCGCCGTGTGCTCGTAATGTGTGGAATCTCAGTGGAAATGGACTGTAAAGAAACAATAGCAGGAGCGAGTTTAGCGACAGAGAAACAAAATAGGAAGAAGAATGTCTGAGTTGGGGCAGAGGAATGTGAGGAGTGAGGGATTTCTGGACTGATATGTGTGGAATGACTAGTTAGCAGCTGTAACCTACAGGCTCACCTTACCCTAGCTAAACTGTAGAAGGATGAGCAGCAGTGCATTCTGAACATTCCACTGTGACGTGTGATCTCTCTCCCTCTGTGTTTCTCTTTCGTCTTTAATCACCAGGGTTCTTGGCAGGACTCTGTGTCAGTATCACTCAGAGTATCACTCATCATCCATCAGTCAAGTCTGACCTTTACCTAAGGAGGATACCCAGCCGTCAGCACACTATGGGTGTGTCTGTCTGGGTGTTTTTATTTCTATACTTAGGATAACTCCTTACATAGTCATCATGACAGTAATCGGTCTAGACAACTAAACTAATCAAACTTGAGTTTGTAGTCTTTCTCGGGTTTTTGAGTATTAGACAATGTACTCTGAGTAAACATAAAAAAGGGGGTTAAATGATGATGATCATGTTGTTTGATAAAAGTATTCAATTAAAGAACACAAAATAAAGTGTATTAGCATGCCAGTGTGACATGATAATGCCTTACCAGAAGCGTAGCTCAGGAGAGATATTAAGGTTTTTTTTTCTCCTCTTGCTGACGTTCTGATTCTGCAATGGGGCTCCTGACTCTCAGGGGGCCATCAGCCTCAATTAAAGGATCTAGAGTTCTAAGCTAACTGTTATTAGGCAGCCTCTCCTCTTTCCTAAGACAGGCAAACTCTTGACCATAAGTCTCTTCCTGTACTGCACAGATGATCCCTTGACGTAGTTGTATGATTCTTGTAATGTTTGGGTTGTAGCCGAAGTTTGGATAAAACTATCAGTTTAATGAATGTAATATAATAACACCGGCCCAGGTACGACTGCACCCCTCGTACCCCCTGACGCTCGGCCTGTGAACATATACATTCAGATCATGTATCTTTTAAAGTGAGTGTCAGCTGAGAGTGTCGCCTCTCTGCACATGGTATTCTGCCTCCTGCAGCTGCAGACTCACCAGCAGCTAATTCTTGTGTCTAAGTTGGCGACTCTTCTGCTCCATTCTCGCACAGTTTATGATGGCTTTTTCATGTGACTTTTGTACTCTACAGTGGATACAAAGAAAATGTATCTAGTGCAATACTTGTATAATAATAGAAATACTTTAGTAAAAGTAAAATAACAATTTTGTGCAAGTACCCAAAAGTGACAGTGTTATAGTAACAAAAGTATATGTAATTTGTTACTTTCACCCTGGGTTAAAAGAAATCAGTGGCCATTAATAATTTGATTGATGAAGCATAAAATAACCTGCAAAGTGCTAAGGTGGAGCAGCATTATTTGGGCATCATTTATTTCACAGTTTGTGCAAGCAGGGTAACAGGAATCCAATAGATGGGACTCAGAGCCAGAGCTGGAGAAGTTTGACGATTTAGTGCACAAACAGTAAATGAACAAAAGGCTTACAAGTATGAGGAAGGTCAAATCCAGTCCAATATGGCAAACAAATTTGACAAATCCAGAATCCAAAAGACAGGCGAGGTCAAAGAAAACAGTCACATTCCACTCAAAACTGGGAAGCAAGGGGAAAAGGTTCCAGCCCTTTTCCTAGTGTGACATACAGATAAAGACAAACTGGCAAAGAGAAGAGAAGAATATTTAACTTGTCACCCTCGACTGAGACCATGTTCAAGGTAAAGCTAGGTTCATGTCAGTGTTAGATATTCGTGGGTTAGATTATCGTGATATTTTCCTTATATTGTAATATTTTATTGCGTTCACTTGAATGTATTCCAACAATCAAGTCCATGTTTCATTTGTCACATCATTTGCTGTAGTCCTCCAGATAACCTTGAACTTGAACTATTTCTCAGTTGACCTGCACATACTGTATTTGAGCTTCATAGTATCTCATGAGTGTCTCTTTACTCCAAATCCATTTTTAGATTGCAATATATTGCTGCTAATTTGTCCTGTCACATATCACTGACCTTTCACAGATCTTGTTACAGTGTTGACCACAGGCCCTTACAGACATAGCCTTTGGGCTTTGTGGTTTCCTCTTAAAATAAAACTGTGGGATGATAATTGTGAAATTAAAGAAATTTATGGTTTTGAGGTGCACAGAGGCCACATATGCAGCAGCACAGCCATTATTATTATGAGAAGTACTTATCTCCGATGTTTTTGCCAGTAACTTGGCCCTGTATAGAATTCTATTTGTGCATCTGGACATGTTACAGTAGGTCCTTGTTCTTGTGTGAGAACATCCTGAACTCTGATTACTGGATGAAAAAGATGGTGACTGGTCTTTCAATAGCTCCACTTGACTGCTAACTTCCAAAAACTGACCGTGTATTAGGGGTATCATGTAGCATTGTTTTGTGATTATACCATTCCAGACGTTCCCCCCCAGATCACTGAGTCCACCTTTTCACACTTCTGTTAATCCCTCCTAATCCTAGCGTTCCAACTGCCCCACATGCTTCTGCTCACAACAATGCAAACTAACATTTGGTCAGCATGCCATTAATGAACCACCTCCTGTTGTCTTTATCCCCAACCCTTTTCTCTCTTTCTGTTTATGTCTTCGTGTCTGTTCCTGTCTAGACTCTTTGGTCTGAAGGACATCATCATACCAGGGAACTGCTCCTCGCCCTATGACCTCAACCTTAATGCAGATCATGATTGGCCAGTTTATGTCAACCCAGGAATACTGTTCCTCCTCTACATTACCATAGCAACTGTTATCAAGACGGGATGTCATGGAGCTCCTAACCAGGTATCTGCTACTTCTTCTTTACTGGTACAGACTGAAATATGTCAATAGTGGAGAGTATCTTAACATGAAAAATTAAAAAAACGTTGAATATTAGGAAAGATTTGTTATTGCAAGTGTGGCAACATTGCTGCGTTCTACTCTCTTCTGGTTTGCTAATTGTGAATCTGTGTGTTCTACAAGTTATAACCAGTATCACTTAATCATGGTAACTTTCTTTGATCACAATTCCTGATCTGATTCGGATCTACAGTTAAAAGTAGACTCTTTTTAGTATAAAAAGACATTTAGTAAAGTCAGGTATTGAAAGAAGTACCATTTTGGGCTTGGTACCATAATTTTGAAATACTAATGGTGTAAGAGCACGTTGTCACTGTCAAGTGCCAAGGCACGGAAACAGCACTCTTAGGCACAAACACAAAACACTAGCCAGAGCTGATACGCTAGAAGGATTTATTCCAAACGACAGAAACTTGGCTTTCATGAAGAGGTGGAAGGACATTGTCCAAACAAAAGCCCAAAGTGAGGGCATAATGATATATGATTACACATATGACATATGATGACGATGCGACAACAGGTAGCAGGGACCCGGACAAAATATACAGACGCACACATGCAGGAAGGGGAACATAACAGGTGGGACACATTAGGGTAAACAGTACAACAGAAAACAAAGCAGGTGGCAAACAACAGAGAAAGAAGAGTACCACACTAAAACAGGAAACAGGACAAACACTCTGACATACAAACCAAACACACAGAGACACTGACCAAAAATTGTGACATATGTCATATAAAAATTCAAACCATACTTTGTTACGTCACATCGACCCCCTGGCAGAATTCCTGTAGATCTACAGAGAACATGAAGTTTTTCACATTACTGAAAATCTTCCTGGTAATATTGTGTTATCAACGCATCCCAGACACTCAGCAGTCAGCTGCTGGATGGTAGATACACTGAGCTGTGACTCCAAATGCAGTTTTCCTCTGGGTTCACTGTTGTTGCTATTTTGTCTTACAATGATACAGCTCAATATGCTGAAAATTACAATTATTTACAATACATATGTTACATGGCCTGCTAGCTCGGCACTGTCTAACACAGTTGGTCATTGGCAGAGCAAGAAGGCACATGAGGATCTGAAATAAAACACAGGTGCATTTAATTGCTGTGGCACCAGTGGAACATCTTTCATGACGGCAACCAATCAAAAGTTTTGCATGATTGTATAATTTTTCCATTTTCAAAAAAGCTGCCAGTTTGGATTTGTGTTTCCTCTCAGAGTCTGTCTTTGTGTTCAGCAGGTTGAGGAGAAAGCAGCAGCAGCAGCAGCAGCAGCAGCAGCAGCAGCAGCAGGGGAACAGGGAGGAATTAAAGGAGGAGATGGTGGAGTTAAGGTCATGGAATCAACAGAAAGATAACCATGAAGATGACACACAGGTAAACTCATATCTCAGCCACTCATTAGGATTTAATCTATATGGACTTCCAAGGCTGAAATGTAATTGTAAACTTATTAGTCTGCTCACTTTAGCGAAATACACCATTATACTCGTACTTCTATCTGGGCGGCTGTTCTGTCACCTAAAATTAAATAGCATTTTCCCTGCTACAGTATACAGATCTGCTCCTTGATTTAATGTTCTGTGCATAGAGCGGTGAGTTGTTTCTCTGTCTACAGTCCTGTCCCACCTGCCTCTTGCCACAGAAAGCAAGTCAGTTTCGCCTGCTGAAATCTGGAAAGGAGAACCACAGGAGAATTTTAGCTTAAGTCTCATGTTGTGGGGTTGCTGGGTGTGGGCCTATGACATTGCTTGCTCCAGGGCTTGTGGTCCATGACAGGAGGCATAGGTGGCTGTTGATACGGATCTCCGGCAGAGTTTTCTTGACTTGACAACTTTGCTAACACAGCTAAACATCAAGCAAGTGCAACAACACAAGACATAGAAAGCCAGCTAAGAATAATTATTATAATTATTATAATTACTGACTAGTCCAACAGCAAGAAGGCCAGCTCATCATCTGTCCTGCATCCTGCTCTTTTAGCTCACCCCAATGAGTAAAAGCCAGACCTATATTTACTCTTGTCCATTCACTCTCTTTTTCTCTTGCTTGCTTCCTCTGATGTCTTCTACTGTCTCTTTGCAGCCTCTGCCATGATAGCTAGCTTACCAAATAACAAACATTGTACCTTTAACTTGCTTACTGAAGAGTTGTGTTGGTGCTGTAAACCACTACGCCATTGTTGTGAAAGGTTTTGTGCGTGGGATTCCTGTTACATAGCGCAGTAGCTAGAGCAATCGAGCCCAGAGCGGCAAAGACAGAAACATCATTTACTCTGTAAGTCAGTGTACCGTCAAAATGATTTTGAAGCAGTTATTTTAAGATAAATTACTACATAATGTTGCTTTAAGACAACATACCTAGTTCAAAAACGTATTTTATTTGTCATGAAAATACCCCCCCTACCTCCCTCCGCGCAACTGTGGATTGATTGCAAAGTTTAACCAACACAGTATGAGAAAATGTTTGTAGTTCCTAGGCCAGGCTTAGTAATTAAAATTTGGCCATTTTAGAAACTACAATGAAAGCATCAAATTTCAAAATTAAGTTTTACATCAAGTGGAATGAAATTACGAGATCCTTCTTTAATAAGTTTTGAGTCGTCCAACGACTATAGTGCAGGCTAATTCCATATCCACTATTTATGTGCAGTTTAATGTCTGTATTCACAAGTGTTTGTGTGTATGGGTGCTCTTGTGTTTCAGCTCATGCTCCAGTCTGTGGGGGCAGAAAACAGCAGTGGAGGGACCGTGGCTGCAGAGAGTCAGCCAGATCTGGGTATCCAAATTATTTATGTAACTAAAACAGTATGTGTGTACGTCATTTCAAATGTAACAACGGAAAGTCTGTTAAGGAAATAGGTGATTACAAATGAATTCGACAATTTGGAGGTCATTTATGACATAGGTTAGAATAACTATGGTTACCAGAAGTGACCCAGTCACTCAAGATCCCCACCTGTAGCAGATATTATGATAATTATTATTATATCATATCGAATTCACAATATCTATACAAGCATTCTCCTGATAGTTAAATAACAGTGTAATCATTTATTCAGATATGCATATTAATTGATGTTAAAAAGTCTTTGAATAGACACACTTTTTGTAGGTTCAATGAGAAGATGGCCCCTAATTAGTGCAAAGCAGTAGGTCTTGAGCACATGGACTGTGTGGACATCTCCACCTGCTATTGGCTCATGTATGTGCAAGAGAGCTTGGTGAAGTGGATTATAATAAGCATTCACAGGAGGTTGACGGAGACAGCTCAACAGATGGAAGGGGCTTCTCCAGACAATCGTATTGTTGTCTGGATGGTGCAGAGTGGCACGTCGTGAACACACAGCAGCACAAATCTGCAGCCAATGCAGATGCTGTGGGTTTTTATTTACTTTGTACAGTGATAATAGAAATATATTGTAAAAATACTGATGGAGCCATTTCTACTACAGCATCAATCTGACACTAATTCAGTTTTAATTCTACCGTAAGTTCAGAAAGGAGGCTGTAACAGACATGATTAATGATCTGCTGTAATGCTATGTCACCAATAAACAACAGAATACTGAGTCAGAACCGAGCAGTCTAATATGTGTGAGGTAATTTTGTAGCAGCCTGGTGTCATTTGCACAGGATGGCTGTGTGTAATGACACTGCGAAGTGACTTTGCACCAGAAACAGACTTGCTTCTAGTCTATTCTAAGTGCAACATTTAAAAGCCAATTTCCACCAAAATACCAACCACTCGCTTTGTGCTGCCTCATTTGAATGAACCTGTGCTCCTCCTCTCCCACCACTGCACCATGCGCTCTCACAGATAGCCAAAGCTAATTTCAGTGGCAGGAAAACAGTCAGAGCGCTGCTTGCTGTTGCAACTCTGCAGCACATTTAGCATTAGTAAATGTAGCACTGATCAATGCTGTGCACTTGTCTCTAATAATTTAATCTTTAAAATAAAACAAATTAGCAATAAAAGATTAGTTTATACTTTTTTGCCTTTTATTTTGATAACGCTATATTCACTCAAGTTAATTGCTGAGATCTGTGAACATGGTGACATCACTAAAGAAGAAAGATGATCAGTGAGACTATCAGACAGGTTGGAAACAAACCAACAGGTTAGTCAGACTTCTTTAGATGGGAAAACAAAAATGAACAGCTAACTGCTACAGTTCTCCTCAGTTTGCAGTCACAGATTATAAAAATCATTTACTCAGAATACATTTTAAATAACCTACTTTTTAATTTATTTAAAGTACTTACAGTACAGTACTTTTACTTGAGAAAACAAATCTAGTACTATCCAGATTATCTACAAGAAAAAGAAAAGCACTGATGGACAAACTGTTGGTTTGCTTCTAACCTGTCTGACTGCTTCTGTTTCTTGATCCATCTGACATTGTTGTAGTGATTGATCCTGTTCCCTGACCTCAGCTCTGTGAGCAGACTGATATCATTACATATACAGTATATAGGAATGATGGCCAAAGCTATTAAACAAGAGCCAAGCTGTAATAAACTGGAACGATCCTTTAAAGATCATTTCAGCAGACAACATGACTACTCAGCTATGATAATGTACACATCATATTTTTTTCTATGTAATGTTCTGCATGCTGAGGGATTGTTCTTTTTGGCAGGTGTTTGCAACGCTCCCAGTGGCCAACAGAGTGAAAGTCCATTTTTCCTGCTGGGAAAAGTGGTCATGCAGCAGAGCTATGTCTGCGCTCTCATAGCCATGATGGTAACTATGGATTGAGTTGGCTGTTCACACATTTAGATTAGTTACTTGGAGAAAGCCTGGATGAGAAATAAAAGCTCTCAATCAGAACATTTCAGAATACGATATTTTAAATCGATATTTGAAAGAATTTAAGTCCTTTGTAATGCGGTGATCTTTTTCCTTTTGCTCATATATTTTCATCTCTTGTTTAGTTTTGGGGGTTTTCTGTATTGATTACTGGAAGATGTATGTTTTATAAAATAGCAGTGTCTTGTATTCCCAGATGTTTGGCATGACACAGAAATAAAACAAAAAAAAACTAAAAACTATTAAAAAATACTATTGTAAAAAAATACACAATTTTCTGCATTTATAAAATCACACAAAACTAATACAATATACTTTGCTATTTCAGCCTACTAACACAACAGGAATTGAATAATTATGATTACAGACTGGTTTTGGCACCTTTATGTCTTCAAGTTGATAGTTCCTGTGAATTGTTCCCGTTGTCATGAGCTGTTTGCATGTTGTTCAGGTTTGGAGCATCACGTACCACAGCTGGCTGACCTTTGTGCTGCTGCTGTGGGCTTGTCTCATCTGGATCCTGCGTGCCAGGTACTGATTACACCTGTACTGCTGACAGATCAAGGCAGAAATCTGATAAACTACTTGAAAATCTGAAAATGGACACGTGGTGAATGTATTAATTCATTCCTACGGATTTTGCTTGTGTTGTGTCAGTGTTTGGTCTCTTTACAAATGCACATTTTCAAGTGATTTTAACAAGTTTTCAACATGTACACTTCACAGGCTACATCATGACTGATGAGTTGTTTCATGGTTTAAACCTGACCTCAGTTAGCTGTCTCTTTTTGCAGACGGCATGCAGCCACGCTGTGCTCTCCGTTTATCCTGCTCTATGGCCTGGCTCTGTGTTGTCTGCAGTACGTCTGGGCCATGGAGCTTCAGCCTGAACTGCCCACCACTGTGGGAACCATGAGCCTCAGACAACTGGGACTTGACAGAGCCCAGTACCCCTGCCTAAGACTAGGAGCCATGGTAAGATCAGAGGTGACTGGGTGATGATGAAGTTAAATGTGTGACGATGACATTGTGTATGATATTTATCATTGAATACAACCCTTCATCACCGACTCCTCGCTGTGGAACCTGGAGCTTGTCCATGAATTTGAGTGATACAGACCAGATACAGTAGGGCTCATCTCCCCACACAGCACTATGAGCTGAGGCATGAGCTCAGGTACTTCAGATCAACTTCTGACTGTGCCAGATTACATGCAATATTTCTTCACACAGCACAAGCACTGGAGCCAAACTCCTCGATAGAGACAAACTCTGTCAATATTTAGAGGAATAAAATCACAATCTCAAGTTCAGCAGAAGAAACCACTTCTATGCTCTTTTCCTTCTGTTGTCCATGAACAAAACATGTCTTGAAAAGCCCAGCATCAGGTTGCAGTTCATTTAAATCAACTCAGCTGTGGTTGGGTTCTTTTACATCAGCAGCAATCATCAGGTTTCATAAACATGCCCTAAAAAGTTCTACTGAGTAAAGGGATGGGTCATTTTGCTGGTTAGAGATGTCTTTCTCTGCTTTTCAGAAACCCAGTGAACTGAATTCTTGCTCTCCATGTTTTTCCGTGTGTTTTTCCATCACTCTCTTTTTTTATCTCTCCAGCTTCTGTTCACTTTAACCTTTTGGCTGTTAGTACGTCAGTCAGTGAAGGAAAACTTCAGCATGAAGAGGAAACTGGCCACACCACTACAGGAAGTCACTACAGGAGGTCTTTTATACATTCTCACACACACACACACACACACACACACACACACACACACACACACTTAGACACTAACACAACAAAGCCCTGCTCCATTATGATAACACACACGCACAGCATGTATACACACTGTCTTAAGTGTTTATACAATTGTTAAATTAGTCAATCAAGTTTAAACTTTGATCAAATGATATACTAACAAGACATACATTTTAAAAGGGTGTGTGTGGTTTATGGAAGGGCCGAGGCATGGCGCCAAAAGGGATGGGGTCTGTTATTTGTAACACAGGCATCACATCAAGAGTTCCAGACTGCGGCTTACTGCAAGGGGCAGGGCTTACAGTCTGGACCGTTTTGTAAATGTAATCAAATTGCATCATATCCATCATAGCAAGAGTCACATTAAGTGGACCAAAACAATGAACTGCTGCTATTTTCTTTAAAGAGGTGGTATTATGCTAGTTTTCAGGTTCAAAATCTTATTTAGGGGTTGTACCAGAACAGGTTTACATGGTTTCATTTTCAAAAAACACCATATATTTTTTTTCTGCAGCTCCTCTTTTCACCCTGTGTTGAAGGCTTCGTTTTAGCTATGGAGTGATACATCTGGTCTCTAAATGATCTTTGTTGGGAGTTGCACATTCGCAGTTCCTAGTTAAGGATTACTAGCCAGTCAGAAGCAGAGAAGGGCGGGTCAGTGAGAAGCTGGTAAACACGGCTTCGGTTCAGCTGTAGGCTACATGTTGCCAACCAGCTTGGCAACATGGACTGGAGCAAGAGTTTCAGAGTGGTGAGTTATTAATCTGTAACAAAAGAATCTTTCATCCATAAAGTTTTACCTGAGCTCTGTCTCTACATCACAGTAACAACTTTATGTCCACTGACTGCCTGGAGGGTAGCTAGTGTTTGGAAGGGAGAGGAGAGCTGTGTGCTGCAGCTCACAGTTTTTGAGGGCGTGTTGGAGTAGCTGTTTTGCGAGCATTATGACGCGTATTTACTTGTGACATCACAAGAAAGCGGAAATAAAGGCTGGACTACAAACGAGCTGTTTTCAGGCAGTTCAGAGCAGAGTTTTCTGTGGGAGATGGGAACTCCCTTTGGGGTGGACTTTGGGCTTTTTCACTTTGCAAACTACATGCACAAAAAAGATATAACTCAATAAAGGAGAGGGGGAAAGCCGAAAAGCAGAATACCACCTCTTTAAAGTATAAATGACATTGTGTTAATTTCCTGATTAAACAAAATTAAAAGCTTTACATTTTTAGAGAGCCTACATGACAGCCGTGTGGTTTCATGGAAGAATTTTAAGGAGTCAGACATTGCAATACAACCCAGTATCAGGACATCAGGCACACTTTCACTTTCTGATGGAGTTAACAGAATCATAAAGGGTCAGTTTACCTAAATTACACACACACATACAAAACAACTTACCTGTTTTCTAACCCCTGAAAACAATGCATCCCAGCTGTTTTGGATAAGCAACGAACACTCAGTATCAATTAGAACAACTGTACTTTCTACCAAAGAAATACTATAAAAACTGTTCACTGGATAAACAGTGACGCTGTTTCTGGAAAGATGGTTGCTGTTATATTTTACAGATATAATTAATTTATTAATTTATAACTAAATTAAATTCACCTCCACTGTATTGGGGTAAAGGCAGAAATCACAGAGACATACAGTATGTGAAACTATTTAGTTCTATTCTTATTTTATTTTACATAGTTTTAACCTGTTCTGTCCTTGTGTTGCTGTAACACTGGAATTTCCTCTCTGGGGGATCAGTAATGGATTATCTTATCCAATATTATCCTTTACAGTACTTCTTACCATGTACAATATCTTCCTCATTACTCTGTCTTTTCCATTTTACCATCAGCATCTAACCCCCCACCCCCTCTCCCCTCTCTCCTCCCTCTTATCCTTGTCAGAAGAGGGGGCAGCTAATGAGTCGGTGCTGAAGGTTCTGGGAGGCATGGTGATGAGCTGTTACGCCAAATACTGGATCTACGTGTGTGGAGGGATGTTCATCATGGTCTCCTTTGCTGGAAAACTTGTTGGATACAAGATCATCTACATGCTGCTGTTCCTGCTCTGCCTCTGTCTCTATCAGGTCCCCACACCTCATTTTTTAAGTTTCATTTAGATATCTCATCAGATACTTTTAGAGAAGCCTCAGTGTTTTGCCTTTTTATTTTTTCTTGGTGTCACTTAGTTTGTGGCAGTTTGTTAGAGTTATTTGCACATTAAATGGAATGTTAATTCCAAACATTTCTGGGTAATGAGTAACTTGTTGATACTTCCCAGGTGTACTATTCTCTGTGGAGGCGTCTGTTGAAGATCTTCTGGGGGCTTGTTGTGGCCTACACCATGCTGGTGCTGATCTCCATCTACACTTACCAGTTTGAAGACTTCCCTGGATACTGGAGAAACTTCACTGGTTTCACAGAAGAACAGTGCGTTCTTTTACAAAGGCCTGACTGTCTTGTGATTTATATTTTTGATTTTTATATTTAATAGAACGTTCTATAATATTTAAACATTTTAGCTGCTCATGGCCTGCATACGCCCCAAGCGTCACTACACAGCCCTGTGGTAATTAGGCCTGTAGATACAGGGTCAGAGCTCAGAGCAAATATAAAGTGTTGGCTTCTTATTAACCCCGTGTTCCTTCCACTCACTTATCAGTAACAATGCAGTTTCACTCCCTGCATCCAGATTAGCCTTATGCAAATTAAACACTTTTAGGAATAAGAAAGATATACGTTTAAAACTGAAATGATGAAGGTGTAATCACGCCCCCCCTGTCGTCCCCAGGCTGGCAGCGATTGGTCTGGAGACGTTTGCTCTGTCCGAACTCTTCACCAGTATTCTGATCCCTGGCTTCTTCCTGCTGGCCTGTATTCTGCAGCTGCACTACTTCCACAAACCCTTCATGAGAATCACTGACCTGGAGCATGTTGCACCTATACACAAGTAACACCACCTACACACTCCTAATACTTGAGGGTGGTGGGGGGGGGGTAAATCTCATCTGCAGAGAGATGTAGAGCGTAGATGACTGGTGGACATCTGCATTGTTAAATAAATTAGACCTTATTCTTTGGAAATGTAAACAATTTAACAACTACAAATCCAAACACTCACCTTCTCCTATGACATCACTCTGCTTGTGACTACAGCCCCTCAAGTTAATGTTTAAGTTTGGTCAAAATAGCTAAGGCATGTAACAAGAGATAAAGACAGTGTTGAGACACAGGATTAGGACTTGGAGATTTTCAAACTGTTACTTCACTTTGCTTGTAAATAACACAGGGCCCTCTGGTGGTGACGACTGGACTCCAGCTATGGAAGTGAAGAAAACAATTCAGAGATTATGCTGCAGATCAGTCCAGTCTCTGAAAATCATTAAAAAACGTGTAAAAATATGGAACTGGTTTACCTAGAAACATCTTTAAAGCTGTTTTTCATTCTAGTATAACAAGGTGACATCATTTTAGCACTATGAATGTAGGACTTTAGGTTCTCAAGAAAGGATCTATGGCCTAAACAACTTATCTAGGGGAATATTTACCTAATCCTCATGAAATTTATTTGGCAGACAGAGGTCACATGGTACATTTCCTCTATTTATCTTGATTTTTTAACTGATTTTCATAATAGAAATAAATGTCGTGCATAAATGTAATAGAATGGTCCAGTTTCATTCAAAAGGCTGACTCGTAACAATGAAACATAAATCACGTTCTTCCCGGAATGTGCTCACCATGTCTGCTTACAACCACAAATTAATATTAAAGTTCAAACCACTGCTTTTTGTGTTTCCCATCGTCACGTATTACCAAGAATTCTATATTCTTTTGCAAGACCTAATGAGACACTCTGCCTCCAGAAAGAAGATCAGGGAGAGGAGTGAGCAGATTGGCTCTGGTAACGTGGGGGTGGACTTTGAAGAGGAAGACCTGGTGACTAATGTCGACGAGGAATCTGAAGACGAAGGTAAAAAAAAAACACTGGCCGTTTACATTACAGACGATCAAATCAAATGGTTGCTTATCGATGCACAAATTAGTAATTATATTGTTTCATCATTTATGATCACAAACTACTCACTGTCACCGTTCTGAATTATTTTATTCTGCAAAGTAGGAAAATAATCATGTTTTATCAAGCACACCTGTACTATAAAACAACTTTTACATAGCACAAGTCAAGTTAAAGTTTTGTTGCTTTATAATGTATAATTTTTTATTATCACAAGTATGTAATAATAATAATTACAGCTGATACTGAGAAGAATGATGGAGTCGGTGGTGTTGCTTTGGATGTGAATTTTGAGTAAGAAGTGATGCTTACATGCGTTCTTGTATAAATGTTTTGTATTTATCTGACTCTTGGGGGGTTTTGTGCCCCGGATGTTTCCATGTAAATGCACTTACATTTCAGAAGTTTCTTAAACTCTAGTGCCTTGATGTCTCGCCGGTTCATTTCTGTTTTTCTGTTTCTCCCGTCTCTCTATGTACGTCCACCCTTTCTCTTCCCTCACTCAGCGGTGTTGACACCCAGTAAGTGGGGTCTGGTGGTGGACAGGTTGCTGGTTCTGTCAGGAAGGTTCTCTGACATTCTCACCAAAATTCAAGTGTTTCTCTGGAGACTTCTGGAGCTTCACATCCTCAAGATGGTGGCCTTCTTCTCTGTGTGGGTTGCACTTGAAGAGGTAAAGGCAGGGGGAACGGGCGTCGTGTTTGTTAAGGGAGTGTGAAACACTGCACAGCAAATCAGAACCCTCTAATTCTTATTGACAATCAGCATTTTGTCATCATGTCTTTGTATAAGTAATGTCCCAGTCAGTTATGCTACAACTTAAAGGTGATTTATTCATAGTCATATTGAGACTGTCCTCTGACTAATTTTACAAGCTCTGCAGTATAACTATAAAACCCATCATTACCCATCAAACATCCATCCATCTCTTTAAAGTTGGATTATTACTGCAGCTGTCGGAGGTGAACAGTGCCTTTCTAAACTATAGTGGACTGACCTGTAAACACAAATGACTAATTTAAAGCTGCTGCGCTCGACGAGGCATGTCGAGTCTGAGAGGGGCCACCCACAGAAGGATTCCAATGGTTGTGTTGTTAGCCCAAAACTGCGGAAGCCTGAAGACTTTTTTGGGCAAATGTGCTGGACGAGCAACTTTGCTTGAAATGAATAGGGCACCAATTTGGAACACAGTATCCAGTAGTACACCCGCGTTTAGAACAGCTCGTTTTGTTGCTAACCTGAGTGATGAATGATCGGGTCATACATCATACTTGACATAAAGCTCTTAAACATGTTAATTTTTGTATGGGTTCATTATAACTTAAATGTTGTCCTGTTTGCGTGTTTGTCCGTAGCCATCCGTGATGAACCTGGTCCTTGTGGTGCTGTGGTCTCTGGCGATGCCCTACGGTCGCTTCAGGCCCATGGCTTCCTGTCTGTCTACAGTCTGGGTGTGTGTCATCATCGTGTGTAAGATGCTGTACCAGCTCAGTGTTGTCAACCCTGCTGAGTACTCCAGTAACTGTAGCCTGGTAAGACACGTATACACACAGACACACACACTGCATCAGCAACAGGCCTGATGTTATATTACTTTCTACTATGAACTAAAAGTGCAAGCCCTTCAAAGTGTGTACTGCTCATCAGAAAGGAAACTGAAACTAATCCCATACTGACACCCTGATGGCAAAGCCTTCAAATTTGGGGTTCAGCTTCTTGTTCAAGGAAACTGAAAGGTGTAGACAGGAGGAGCTAGGGTTCAAACCCGCTTTATCTCGTGAGCCACAGCCGCCCCCTACTAAATGTACTTAGTTATTACACTATGTAGAGTACAATTAGCAGTGATAAAGAGTAGTGATTACACTGTTGACCATAGCTATGTCTGAAACATCCCCATCTCTCTGACTCTGACATTTGTAATATCACCAATTTTAGTGCTGCCCACAAAGGCTCTGAATGGCTTGGTTGTTTCACCAACTGCGGAGCACTAGTCACCAGAGCAGCAGACCTTTTTGACTCACTGATGAATTCAGAGACGTGGGCAGTAATTCAGGGAACCAGACTTGTTCTCTCTGCACGTTTAACCGAAAACCCTGCTGGGTCATCACACAGTGTGGTGTTGAGTTAGGAAAAGGACTGGTAGATCTATGGTACGTTATTTATGGCACTATCAACAGATAATCTTCACAAAATATTAGAAATGTATCAAAACATAAAATATACTCCCTTTTCATGTATCCAAAGAAATCAAAAAACCTTTTTGTCCCCCTCTTCTGACAGTGAGAGTAATTACACAACACGTGCTTATGACATATAGGCTCTGTCATAGTGAGTTGCTGCTGTTGCTACGGTTGGCCGTTCCCCCTTCAGCTCTGGTAAACCAGTCATTGCTGCTTGGCATAAAAAACATCACTACAGGTTTTCCAGAGCACGGACGTTGCCACAGACACCAGATTTAAAAACTCTGATATACTGAGAATACAGAGAGGTTTACCTGGCTGTGATAGGCTTGATCAGCATTGTGCATGAATGTAAGAGATGTTTATATGTAGAAGTCCCAGACTTTAGCTTAAAGTTTTACCTGTTAAGAAGCTAAAATACACCAATTAATCAATGACAGACGGAGATCAATTCATCCAACTTGTTGTTGTTGGCGGCACTGTCTCAAAACTCCACCAGTAACGTGCACACTCCATCACAAGAGTGCACTTAGTTACTATCCTGGTGTACACAGGTGTCACATCAGCTGGGCGGAGCTTGAAATTACATTAATATGCAGAGTTTTGAAAAGTGGAGTGGACATGTCCCCCCTGTCCCTTGTGAAAGTTATGCCCTAGCGTACACATCGCAATCAAAGACAAAAGCTTCATTAGAACAATAATTTGACACTCTTGTGCTGAGTTTGAAAGAGGCCTTGGTTGCTCCTGTGGGCAAACTAATGGAGCTTAAATACACACACATGCAAGCTGAGGAGGTTGGCTAGCTCTTGTATTTTTTCAGTAGTATACAGTAATCTTTTGAATCTAACCAATCTGTGTCCGCAATTAAAGTTGTTTACAAGGCAACAGGCTGAGTTTTTCCATGCTCCTGCTGAACCAGATTTAGTCTGTGCAGCCCTTCATAGAGGAACATTTCACCTAAAAATGGGAACCCTGATGTGCAACTCAGTAACAGAGATTAATTAAACAGACAGTTAATAAAGCAGGCATTCAGTGAGAGAGGAAAATAACTTCTAACAAGTCTAAGTCTCGCTTTACATATTTGTCTGCTCTAGGATTGGAGCCCTGAGAAATGTATATGCACATTGTCTATATAAATTTCATCCGTGGTGAGATATCTGAACAGCGACAGGCCAGATTCAACTGGACAGGAGAGATAATGAATGGAACAGGAGAAAGGAAGGACGTAGGAGGAAACTGAGCACAAACGGAAAGGGTCAAGGTTCATGCTCACCAAAAGTCTTCTTTCATGAAGAGAAAGCATCTAGATGTTTCGGATAGTCATGTCTGATGAAAAGACAGGTATTGCCAAGACTATAGAATTTCTTAGCTTTTCAAAGGCAGAAGATTCCAAGGGTTTACATTACGCTGTTTCTTTATCCAAGGTAACAGCTGTGGACTAGATGTGTTCCAATAAAAAAGAGGAGAAATAAAAAAGAAATCAGCATCATGACCATCACTAAGCCTGACTGCTTCTTAATCTCCATGAGCAGGGACAGCTGGTGTTGTAGATTATCTTGACCTGACACAATAGTAATGTGGTCTGCTTATAAATTTGTTCCTCTTTTTCTCACAGCCTCTGGAAAATGAAACCAACATGTCACCAGAGGAGATTAGCAACTCCCCTCTGTATATGGAGCCAGTGGATCCAGCCAAATGGTTTGGCATCAGGAAAGATGCCACTGTACTGGGATACAGCAAGGTATGCCTAACATATGTATCCTACTCAGTCAAAAAAATATTGACTGGCATGGCTCCAGTACAAATGCTACTGTAATAAGTTTATGAAGGTTTGGAATGAATCTACAATATAAACATTATGTAGGCTGCTGAATGTAAAGGTTAAGCGATAGTTCTGACTTTGTGTCAAACACATCTATGTATTGTGTTGCAGAGATAGTATTATTCAGTTAGTACCGGCCCGGCCTGTGTTGTCATATCACTTTGTACCTCGAGAGGCGATAGTCCTATATTATAGCTCAGCCCCCCCCTGGTCTGCTGATCTGCTTCTCTAAAGGTCTAATTAATTCATCTCATCATTGAATTTGTATCCTTTTTTTGCAGAACCATTTGATAGTGCTGATGTTGTTGGTGTTTGAGGCGACAGTGTATCGTCACCAGGCTCACCACTACCGCCAGCTCCAACGATCTCCCCCCACCATCCCCACTCTGTTTCCCTCCGCCACCAGGGACACTCTAGACCAGGGCCTCATACCCTGCCTCAAGTACCTGCTCAACTACACCTTCTACAAGTTTGGATTAGAGGTAAAAAAAAAGCATCAGTGTTCTGAGAAATTAAATAAAAAGAGAGTCGAGTTGTAAAATGACAAAAAATTAGTTTTTTTCTGTTTTTATTTTATTTTAATCTCTAAAAACATTCCCTCTTTTTGAAGATTTGCTTCCTGATGACGGTGAATGTGATTGGCCAGCGGATGAACTTCATGGTGATTATCCATGGCTGTTGGTTGGTAGCCATCTTGGTGAGGCGGCGACGGGCAGCTATCGCCAGGATCTGGCCCAAATATTGTCTCTTCCTTTCCATCTTCATGATCTACCAGTATCTTCTGTGTGTGGGCATACCGCCTGCTCTCTGTATAGGTTAGTCCTGATATGAACGATATGTTAAGTGCAACTAGATGACAATGTAATACAGTATAACAGTATGTTCTATGATTGTAGGTGTGCTCTACATAAAAGAATAACTGAAATGTTGTTTATGGACATATTGTTCATATTATAATAAGCCAAATATCCTGCACTCAGTATGCAATAAATTCCCATTTTATTAAATATACCTGACCTGTACAATCTAATGGCACCCAGTACAGTAACCATGCAAAATCCAACATTTGGAGCATGTGGGTTAATCTCTGATACACTTATTTAGTTTCTATTTGGTTTTGGGGTCTTTCACCTGTGTTGAATAGCTGAAATATTATACTTCCCATACTATGTTTCTTGCCGGGCCCTTTTGTAGATACAGTTATTTTTAAGCCAAATCTCAATATTTCATTCACATTCAAAGTGTGGGTATGGTTTATGTATGTTTCACACATGAAAATGTCAAAGAATAGCCTTCTTTTCTGTCATTGTTTTCAGTTTCTGGCATGGCATCATACACTTCAGGTCTGCTGAAGGGAAACTACTGTAGAAATGAGTAATTGTTGAAATAATGTACCTACTTCTGCTCACCTGCCTGTACCTATCTGTATCTGCTGTGTGTCTGTTGTCCTGTAGACTACCCATGGCGGTGGAATATTCCAGTGTTGATGAACTCGGCTCTCATTAAATGGATCTATCTGCCTGACTTCTACACTGTGCCCAACTCCAAAAACCTCATAGGTCAGTTTGTTTGCATGTCTCTGTGTCTGTGAGTCAATTTATTAATTTACCTGCATCAACAAAATAAGTCTACCTTTGTCTCAGCACTCCCTCGATAGTTATTTTCAGGCAGGGTGTAGTGTATATTTCCATTTCTAGTGGGTTATTTCTACTCACTACTTAAATCTGCTCCCCTCTCCCACACACACCTAAATCTCTGGTCTCTTTTTGCAAACACCCTGGTTTTCCTCACCTCTTCCTGTCTTGCTCTGCCTGTATGTGTCTGCTCTGCAGACTTTCTCCATCAGCGGTACGTTTTATAAAGTCGCCGAGAAGACACAGAACTCGTCTTTTGAATTTTTCCACCCGCAATTACGTTTTCACTGCAGCAGGTGGGCTGCATGCGGAGGAGGTTTCTTAATGAACACGATCGAAACGATCAAAACCAACTTGGTGGCTAGCAAATGATATCTGCACTGCTGTGTTCACTGTTGCTTTACCTGGTCTGTGCTTGTAAAATATCCACCATGTCTGCATTTTGTAACACAATCTCTCTGTGTTTCTCTGCAAAATGCTAAAATGGGTGGCCAGGTATACCTGCCCAAGTAAAGTGTATGTGTGGGAAACACTGTGCTGACATGGTTACCAAATTATTTGCATTAATATAAACATGGCTTACACAGATCAATTATAAGATAGCTTCCTGGACAGACTGCACAATCAGAAGATTGATTTATCAATAGAAATAATACTAAAATCATTGGTGGTTCGTTTGCTTTCACATCTCAAGCGAACTGCCCCAGAGTCTGACCACCCTTTTCAAGTGGTCTGGCTGCAGCTGTTTGGTCCACACCAGAGTCTGATTGACAGCTTTCACATCAGCCCAAATTAAGCGCAGGCTACTCACCTGGCAAACACACCAGGATTGGAGGGGACTCGTCTCTGCAGGAGACACAGACATGGTCTGTGCCGCAATCAAGACACACAAACAAGCTTTATTCAAAATATTCAACTAAACAACAAAAATCCATGTTCAGTCAGTCAGATTGGATGCAGGGTGGATCCCTTTGTAAAAGGTGAGAACCATGGGCCCGGGGCAGCCGCACTCTCTGCTCCCCCGTTTGCTCCGCTACAGGATGATGACGATGATGATGATGATGATGACGATGGTATATTGTGTTGTGTGTGTCCACAGCGGACTTTGTGCTGCTGATGTGTGCATCCCAGCAGTGGAAGGTGTTTGAGTGTGAGCGCACGGAGGATTGGATGGTTCAGGCCGGAGAGAACACAGACGACCCTGACCCAATGGAAGGTCGACCGTTCAACCCTGCACCCAACTTCATCAACTGCAGGTAAATCCAGCATCAACAACAACAACATGTTTACCAGACATCCACAGCTGGACCTGCTGTTAGCCTGCTGATGCTCCTGTCATCATTTGCTTTGCAGCTTTGTCGCACTTTCCCCGTCCTGCTCACAGTAAAAGCTTCTCTGTCGATCAAATCTAGAATGTTTGTTTCTCCCTCGTCCTCTTCTAGGAGTTACCTGGACATGGCTAAAGTGTTGGTGTTTCGTCACCTCTTCTGGTTTGTGCTGTCAGTGGTCTTCATCACTGGGGCTACCAGGATCTCCGTGTTTGGATTGGGCTACCTGCTCGCCTGCTTCTTTTTTCTGCTGTTTGGGACCCAGCTATTGGTCAAACCATCCAGGACCCGCCTCGCCCTGTGGGACTGCCTCATCATCTATAATGTGGCAGTCATTATATCTAAAAATATGTTATCAGTAAGTATAAAGCTCATCATATGGTGATAGTTTGCAGTTTTTGGGGGCAATTCCACGTTTGCCCCAGTAACCAGTCAAGGTTCAAGTTGCAGTTCAATCAATGTCTGTCCAGACTCATATTATAAATGTAGTAAATATTTGGAAGGAATTCAATGAAATATTTATTTTTATTATAAATGGAAGTTATCAATACACTGATACATATGTATGATTGCAGTTAAAATACATTGTTGAACTAATGAATAAAGGATTATCATTGCTGCATTGGCTGAACAGGTATACATGTATTTGACTATGTAAAGATAGATTCTTCTAGAGTACAGCTACACTAAAGTGGTGGTTTGTTTTCTCCTGGCATTTTTAGATGCAAAGCCCCTCTCTGAGCTGTAGGTGAAACTCTCTCACTCACGCTCCAATACGCTGTTTGCAGTCACGTGATTCCGATGGCTCAAAAAAAGGCAGAATGGACGAGATGGAGGAAAGCCCGTACTGTGCTAGTCACTGTTTACTCATTGTGTCGTCCCAGTCAACGTGTGTGTGGAATCTGGAATGGCCCAATCCATTCTTAATTTACTGCTAAAAACCTACTTTGAGGTCACAGTGACCTTTGAGTCAAAAGTGTCACCAATTCAGTGTCTGACCAACTGAAATATGGTCACAACCTCCCTGTTCCTGAGTTAATGGGTTGAATAATGGCCAAAAAGAGGGTTTCAGATGTTTTGGGATGGTGTTTTATGATGTCACAGTGTAGTTGACCTGTGACTAGATATAAAATGCCATTTTTTAACTACCCTCATAAATTCTCAGCAAAAATTGTGAGGTCACAGTGACCTTTCACAACCAAGTTCAAGTCAGTTACTCTTTGAGCCAAATTTGAAGAAATTCATTATTGCTCTCATGGCTCTGAAACAGCTGGGCCAATCCCAAAGGCCCCAGACTCTTTATTGAGTTGTTAAGTTAGGGAAAACTTTATAAACTCTGTGAAAAACTGTCTGTGACAAATTTTTCATGATTTGTGACGTTTTGTCAATTTTAACCTTATTTCTTTCCTTGTGTAAAAACCATTGTGTCAGTTGCTCTATGTCTAGATAAATTAAATGCCTGCAGATTTAGCCCCCCTTTTAACTGGATCCATGTTTGATTTCAGTTTTCTTATTCAGTATACAGCTCTATGTTTTGCTTTAAAGATTCAGCCTCAGGTGCTTTGACATTGCGTGTGGATCTTCTCAGCACAGGTGATGAATGTCCTTGGCTGTCAGATGAGAAATCTGTGTGTGTTTGTGTTTCAGATCCTGGCGTGTGTGTTTGTGTTTGAGATGCAGAATGGCTTCTGTTGGGTGATTCAACTCTTCAGCCTGGTTTGCACAGTCAAAGGATACTATGACCGTAAGTGCTTTAATAATAATAATAAAAATAATAATACACCACAACACTGACCATGTATACATTAGCAATAGTATCTATATTACTCGAGCAAAAAGAAGCAGTTCTGCAGAATGCCTTTTTATCTTATGTGTCACTGTGTGTGTGTTTCTTTCCCTGACAGCGAAAGTAGTGAGTGGCAAAACCTGCAGCCTCCCAGTAGAAGAGGCCGGGATCATCTGGGACAGTATCTGTTTCCTCTTCCTGTTACTGCAGAGGAGGGTCTTCCTCAGTTTCTACTTCCTGCATGTGACGGCAGAGCTGCAGGCTTCTGCAAAACAGGCCTCAAGGTGAGAGACCATGTACCGATAACTGACTGAATGAAGCAGCTAAATGAAAAGGACATATATCTATGTTACACGTGATTATGTATATTTAAATATACTGCAAATCACACAGTCTGAGAAAGAAAAATCAATCTTTTGTTGAACTCGTGTTCACGCTAAACCCCAAAACTGAGAAATAGAAAAAAAAGACATGATGTAAAACAAACCAAAAAGTTAAGAGCATTCAAGTTTATTTACTGTTTCAACCACATGACACTGTCTCCTTCAGTGGATGGAGTTAGCTCTGACCTAAGTAGCAATTTAACAAGATATGGTGACATTTGTTATACTGTACATACAGGCACTATAAAAAGTATAATTCATCATATTCTATTGTTTAAAAACATTGAATCATGGTAGATTTAATGTGGCTTTATTGACACTGATCAACAGGAAAAGATACTTTAATGTCAAAGTGATCTTAATGAATTACAAATGTTCAATCCAAAATACACATTTGCATGCGTGTATATTCACCCCCTTTAAAAAGACACACCCAAAATTAAAAGTAAATTTAAGGTTCTAGAAGTCACATAATTGGCTAAATGTCACATTCGGTCTACTTTGCGTCAATGTTGTGAAACAATAAAACACAAAAACTTCAAAGGAGGGTGAACATGAGGTAACAATTTCATTATAATAGTAGTATCACTTCATTGGCTTTATGCTCCGTCCAATTAACATTATGGACAATGTAGCTTATAATGTTCTGTAACCGTGGGGCATTAGTATTGGCACTGTTGACACAAGGTTCATTTATACAACACAGGGTTGTAGAACAAAATGCAAGCTGTAGTCCCTTCCTGCAAAAGACAAAAGAGAAATGTATTATTTGTGCTACAGATGGCAGAAGATGCCAAATTTGTAACTGAAATTAATGTGAAACACTTTCTTTGTTAATTGAAATGAATCTGCTGCAGGCACTGGCTCCCCAGTTACTTGCTAAAGGCTTGCTTTTATGACAAATGAAGTGACAGCTGTTTCTTCCTTCCAGGGGGTTTGAGCTCTTCAGAGCCAGTATCGTGAAGAACATTAAGTTCCACCAACAAGCTGAGAGGAAATCTCTGTCACAGCTTAAGAGATCGTAAGTGTTCACAGTACAGTAAGTGCAGCTGATGAAAGTTGCCTTTGTGAGCAGCATTATGATGTTGCATCAAAGAACAAGTGAAACAAGTAAATGGAAAGCAGGATGATGAAATTCTTAAATTCTTAAAGTTCACCACTTTGTAATAAATTTGTTTTACATTTTGGTATTTAGTACTTGTAATGACTTTGGTGACCTCCTGATGTTTCATAGCTCCACTATGAGGTTGACATTTTTGGTGTTTAGAGAAAGAACAACTGTTGGATGTTTTGCCATGAAATCTGGTACAAATATATCCATCTTACCTCCAGCACAAAGTTTTTTATTGGCTCATATCACAAGTACTACATGTACTTGCAGTATGAAGGTTTGCACTCAATGGAAGGAGCCCAAACCAGAAAAACCAGACTCAGAGCAAAAGTACACTTTGATTTTACGATAAACATACATGTTGGCAAATATTTTTTAAAAGTTGCATCACAAAAAGGATAGGTTGAATTTTTATGTATATGGTCAGCCCTTACATGTTTCAAGTCAAGCTGAATAACATTGTTTTTATTTGTAGTTATTTGTAACACTTTCATTTATTTGTGTTAAATGTTATTGTTCAGCTGCAACATGTCTTGCCACAACACATATTGTTGTCTGAACTTTCTTGCAAACCAGGTCTGTACGTATAAAAGACGGAGGAGAGCTCGCTTCAGTTTTCAGTTTTGGCCCCTCTGCTATTGCAGCATTAAACAAACTGTGTTGCTGACTGTGTTATGTGCTGGGATGTTTGTATTTATGCTGGCTGTGTGAGTTGAGCACCCTCGGAGACACTGAAGTCTATATTTAGAATCTTATCAGCCCCAGAAATCCAACATCAGTCTGGCTATGATTTCTTTTGTAGTATCAGAGTCATTCAAATGTCTGCTTTTAAAACAATGAACTTAGTTAAGTTACTCTTCAAACATAATGTAAATTTAGCTCATAACTCTGTGCCCAGCTGGCCCACAGCTAACCTAAATACACCATAGACAGACATCCAACAGGTAGCTATTGCTTACATTAGCCCAAAGAAAACATGATGAACTAGCTGAGATAGAGAGTTAAAGAGTTAAAACGTCTTCTTTCTCCTTTTCTTCCTTTTCCTGTCCTCTTCTCTCAGGATGCAGAGAATTCGCTCCAAGCAGCAGAAGTACAGAGATGGACACAAATCAAGTGGAGAGTCCAACAAGAGTCAGACTGCTGGTAGGACTCACTGGTTTACTGGAAGAATATTCAGCACCCTGCTAGAAAGATGCAGCACCCCTCAGGGTTTAATCAGTGTTATTTTTAAACCACTGAACGCAGCATTGAAGTGCATCATTTGTCAAGTTTCATTTTATCGTGTGTCTCCTTTGTTGGTCCGCTGACTGGGGTGTAAAAATAGTGATGTTACTCAGATGGTCCTGCCTACAAGGTTTCACAGGAAACCTTATAATGTTTTTGTGGCTGTTTCATTTCTTTCCTTACTGACTGCTTTCTGTCTGTTCTTCATTTCATATTTTTTCCCTTTATTCTTTCCTCATCTGACCTGAAAATACAAAATGCTGGAGGTACAAGGACTGCACGTCACAATGAACTAAACTGCACAGTTCTTCACTGTAGTAATGCAGAGTACGTACATGTATTATCAGTAAATACATTTACTGATAATACATGTTTGCTTTTACCTAAAGAGGTCAAATTCTGCTTTTTGGCCTTTTCCCTCTCCTTCATTGTGTTATATATCTTTTTTGTGCATGTAACAGGTTTGAAAAGTGAAAAAGCCCAAAATCCACCTCAAACGGAGTTCCCATCTCCCACAGAAAACACTGCTCTGAACTGCCTGAAAACAGCTCGACTGTAGCCCAGCCTTTACTTGTTTAACATATCTGTGTAAAACTGGTGGAGAAACACACTGAGCTGCAGCACACAGTGACAAGACATCCGCCTGTTGCCTCCCCTCACCCCCACCCTCCCTACAGAACGTTAGATATCCTCCAGGCAGTCAAGGGACATAAAGTTGTTACTGTGATATAGAGACAAGATAAATTTGTAACAAATGAATAACCTATCACTCCAAAACGTCTTGCTCCAGGCTAGGTTGTGAAGCTGGTTCGTTTCGTTCTGCCTGTACTGCTGAACCGAAGCCGCATTTACTGGCTGGAGCAGCTTTGATTTAGATCACACTACCTTGCTTGTCAGGACCCGCCCTACTCTGCTTCTGATTGGCTTGTAGTCCTTATCTAGGTATTGCGCATGTGCAACTCCTAACAAAGATCAAATAGAAGTGAGATGCCTCACTCTGTAACTTAAAAAGAGCGTTGAACACACAGGGTGAAAATAGGAGCTGCAGCAACGTGCATTATGACAAAAATATGGTGGTGAAAATTAAACCATGTAAACCTGTTCTGGTACAACCCCTAAATAAAAATATTAACCGGAAAATTAGCATAATATGACCTCTTTAAAGCTGCGTGAATCAATGTTTGACCACTAGGGGGCAGAAGACCTCAAAAACATGCTGAGGGACTCACAACCATGACATTGTTTTGTTATATTGTAAAGTGTGTTGCAACTTTAGATAAACATTTATTAACTTAATTTAATGATCCCATGATGTTTAACTCTAGCGCCACCCTCAGGTTACATTTTTAATTCCACCATCACAACGGTAAACTTGAAAAGCAAAACCATCCATATGTTTCTCCTGTGCAGCACAAATCTAAACCTTCTCTTGTTTCCTTCCAGAAAACCAGACAGACAAGAAAAGGTCCAGGAAGAAAAAGTGGTCCCAGCCATGGTTGGACCATGCTACGGGTATAACAAACACTCTTTTTTATCTTTTACCACAAGGACCCGCCACTGAAAAATATACTTAAAAGTGAAGTTGTCCTTCTGATCTAAATTCAGATAACCTAATTTTAGTGAGGTAGAGGAGGTTGTAATGTGTTTCTTCTACTCACAGTGCTCCACTCAGGAGAATACTACCTGTTTGAATCAGACAGTGAGGATGAAGAAGATCTGCAGTCTGAAGAACAGAAGCCTCAGAAACTGACGGCCTGTCAGGTCAGACACCCAACTGAGTCACAAAATCTTTTTTTAAAATTTTTATTAATATAGACCCCCCCCCCCCCCCCCCAGACATATAATTGCCATGTTGTAGTGTTTGGGTCAGTCCAATACCAGGTCTAACAACTGGCTGATATTGTATACTGCACCTAGTTGCAGTTGTTATATCATAGTGTTTCGCTATGGTTAACCTGCAGTGCTTAAACTCGAATTACACATGTTTTTTTTGTCGTCTTTTTTTCCTCTCAGTTGGCATACCAAGCGTGGGTGAGCAGTGTGAAAGCAGCTTTGAGAGAACGTCAGAGACACCAGAGACAGCTGAAGAAGATTGCCAGTAAAGACAAAGAAGGAAAAATGTATTCACAACAAGAGGCTTTCCCTGGGATAGGTTAGAAGTCCTTACAGCCTTTTCTATGCATGACTAAGTGGCCCGAATTTAAGCCCACATTCATGTCTAACTTGTGAGACAGTTGTAAAATATTGACGCAGGAGGAAGAGTAGGATGCATTGTCTATCTGTCAATCTGTCAAACTTTCTGTAGATCCCCTGCTCTTTTCAATTTTATCATCTGCAGTATGTAATAATAATAATAATAATAATGAATTACTTTTATATAGCGCTTTATCATAGATACTCAAAGCGCTTCACAGTGAAGTGGGGGGCCTCACCTCAACCACCACCAATGTGTAGCACCCACCTGGGTGGACAGCAGCTCCTACAGTGCAGCGTCCCCATCACTGCACTGGGGCATTTGGATCTTATTATTAGGACAAGAGAGAAGACTGCCCCCTACTGGCCCACCAACACCATGTTAAAGGAATCTGCTGCCTATTTTGTAAAGACACACAAATTAAGAAAATTAGAAGGTGGAAATTCCTATTTGCTGACATGCTGTATGAAAACTACTTAGCCAGATGTAATCCTGGGTGAGTCCAGGGACTTGACCCCACGTTTTTTGGAAGATAACCCCTATTTTGTTAAAATATTTGACAATCTCACAACTTATATATGTAGCTCTTTTTTATGAATATGTGTATTTATGGTGTGAGGCTTCATATGGAAAGATGGATTACATGTCATGATTTTGGTTTTGGTCGTGTCCATGGCAACTTTTGAGTTAGGAAGTGCTAGTCCTTGCAGAATTGATACGATTATTGTGAACGTGGCGCACTAAATTTGAAATCAAGAGGTCTCAAGTCTGGAGGGAAGACATCTGGATTTATATGGTATATTGTTCATATGGTTTGCCAGGTTTGTCTGGGTCCACCTGACTAATGGCAAAGCTGTGGTCAGTCAGTCTGAATTTACAGAAGATAATGAACTGACTGAAATGGACTGAATTTTCTGCATATCATTACTGATGTTTATGTTTTGCATTAATGTTTAGCATTAAGTATGTACTGTGTGTGTGTGTGTGTGTGTGTGTGTGTGTAGCTTCTGGTGACAATGATGTGTTTGAGGACCCTGTCATTCAGGAGGAGGAAGGGGAGCCAGAGGAACAGGAGTCTGGTAGGTTCACATTCAAGATTTTGGCCTACTCCCCCTTTCACCATCACAACATTCTGGTTAGTTATTGTTATCCTGAGGGTAACGTTCAGTATATTGGTTGTGTGTTCAGAAAATTGTACAATTAACAAGAGCCTAAATGGCTAAATACAGTATTAATAGGTATCAAAAAGCCAGAACAATCTCTCGCAAGACAGAATTGATCGGTTGTGATTCTCGCCTTTATTAGGTTGTAACAGCCCTTTTTATTGGAAAGCGCAAAGATACACACATGCAAGTGTTACTGCTGCCATTATGATTTATAAGACTGAACTAGTAGAAATTAATTTCCAAACATGCATTTAAACATACACACACACAGTCTTTTCACAGTTCAGAAAAAGGAATGGTGGTTTCTCACAACGCTGCTAAATCTAAGTCAGTCACAGTATCACCTGTTCTACTCTCTTCCTCCCCCTGTCTCTCTCTCTCTCTCTCTCTCTCTGTGCTGCAGCTCATGGTGAGATGGTGCAGAAGATTCTGGATATCCTGCGCTTCTTATGGGCTATTGTTCTGGCCATGTTGGATGGAGTGACTCAGTGGCTCAACCTGCTGACCAAACAGTACAGAGAGACATCTACCGTTCTGTGCAACGAACGTTACTTCACGGTACACAAGATACAGCAGGTGAAGCAAAAAGTGATCACACACAGAGACCAACAGGCTCACACACCCACACAACCCCTCTCTAATTTACAGTATGTCTGTCTCCCTCAGCATCACACTACAGCAGACTCCACAGAGGACCAGATATCTCAGGACAGTGAGAGTCCCACACTGGAGACCTGTTTGGATGAGACTGATGCAGAAAACTCCATTAGATACAGGTTAGTGTGGAAAAGAGTGTGTCTTTTATTTACTAATAATATTATAATAAATCTTTTATTATTATTTCATTAGTTCACTCATAGAGCTGAGTCCGTTCCATAGACTTAATGCTGCAATGAGGGTTTATTATTATTATCACTCCTAGAACACATCATGCTGTGTACATACTGTAGGTTTACACTGTGTCTTTCTAGCTGATGTAATGAGAGCATGTCTTTATTTAAACATGGATGCTCTTGTGTTGGATGTTCTTAAAGGATCCTTGCTCTTTTCCTCTAGCAGTACCCTCAGGACAAAATGTACATGTTAGGGCAACTACTGGTAACATAGTTCATCGTTTGTTTGTTTTGCCCACCAGTTTATCAGGGTGGCAGATAGAGGGTCTTTAGATATAAAGTCTTGTTTTGAATAATACATTTCTGTACAATAGTCCATCTTCAGTTTCTCAGTTTTATGTATTTGTATTTTGATGTGTATGTGTGTTTCAATCACTCTCTCAGCTGCCTGGAGGTGGATGGCGGGGGGTTGACAGGCCGGTCTACCCCCAGGCCAAGGGTCAACAGCACTGCAAACCTCCTGAGTCCAGAACCCCCATCTAGCAGCATGGAACTGGTACCAGTGCCACCCACGCAACAACACAGACACTCCAGAACAGCCAGCGAGCTGCTGGGAGAACGGTAGGTACTGTGAACACGCTTGACTCCAGAAGGTCAAACATGATCCACAGAGGGCTGTGTGTCTAGCAGCAGTGACACCACATTGTTTGCAGAGGGAATGTTTGGGTCATGAATGTCCATCCATCCATCCATCATCAACTGCTTATCCGGCTGGAGCCAATCCCAGCTGACATTGGGCGAAAGGAATGAATGTGGAATGAAAACTGTAGTTTAATACAACTTGCTTTTTGTTCAACCAGTTATTGAAAGACTGTTGATGAACACAATGATACATTAACATTGAAGAACGCTCTTAAAACCTTTGGGTATTCTCCATGCTCTTAAATCATTTCAAATTAGCATACTCACTGTAATAATGTGATTTGATTGTTTTACTGAAGTTATTGTTGTTGTTGCTGTATTTAATGCATTTTTTAAACATGTTCTGTTTTTATCTGATGTAAGGTGACCACCAAATAAAATGTATAAATCAAAACAAATTGATAGTTGTAATTCTCTGTCTGCAGGCATTTCTTCATTGAGGAGCTGGAGCAGAGCAGAGAGTTTTATAACAACCAGAACCGTCTGCTGAAGTTGCTCTTTGCCATGTACAACCTGCTGGCAGCCAACTCCGAGCTAGTCTGCTATTTCATCATAGTGTTGAACAACGTGGTCAGTGCCTCTGTGATATCGCTGGTCCTGCCCATACTGGTCTTCCTATGGGCTATGTTGGCTGTTCCAAGACCTACCAAGAGGTTTTGGATGACTGCTATAGTCTACACAGAGGTGGGAACGCAGAGACACACACAGTTACCAAAGTCAAAGCTCTGATAAACCTCAGCACCAGACAGCAGACAGAGAAACTTAATGACAAACGGGTGAACATAGGGGAGCATTTAGCAGCTGAACAGTCAGATAAGTTTCTCTGTAGGTGGTGGAGACCAAACAGGCGCTAAAAGGAGAGTGAATATTGGACTTTCATTTACCTGGTACACACAAATGAATGCTAACACATCAACTTTAATATGGTGACAAAATGTCTAATGTTGTGTTTACAGCTGGTTCTCCTGCAAGTGGACAAATATATTAATTATATAGTATAAGTTAATACAGCTTTTTTCATTTTAACATAACCTAGAGGTGAGGATGTGTCTACATTTTGACCACAAGCAATCGTCAAAAGAGATGAATCTGATTTGAATCTTGGCTGGGTTTCTTTTGCAACCCATACGCAGAAAATAAACAAGTTTAATTACAGAACAACCTTACTCAGGGAGGCTTAATATGGCATGAAGAAAGGCAGACTTACTCTGGGGCCTCAACCTTATCCTTGTAATCCCATTATCTTAACCTTTAGAACACCTCTTCTCATCATACAGTATGTGATATCTCAATCACTGGTGATTAGACTTGGAGATCTCTAACCACTGTAATCCAATTACTGAATTACAGTAATGAGAAGAGCAGTGCTACGTTCAGGTCACAACAAGCTCACATATGTTGCTGACTGGTATGATGAGGGACAGCATGTGTACTGTTGCTTTCTTGCACTCTTTATTGGTCTAACTGGTGGTTGTTCTGGTTTGCCTCTTTCCAGGTGATGGTGGTGGTGAAATACCTTTTCCAGTTTGGATTCTTTCCCTGGAACAGTGTTTATGAGATGACTCTAAATGAAGACAAACCTTTCTTCCCACCTCGCATCCTGGGCCTGGAGAAGACTGACAACTACATCAGATACGATCTTCTTCAGCTGTTGGCTCTGTTCTTCCACAGATCCCTGCTCATGGTCAGTTAGTATTTACAGTCATTACAGTGAGGGTTACACTCGACGACTCGTAAGCAAGGACCAGGGTGAAAGCAACAAGGACATAATTGGCCACCTTCCACTTTTCAAAATAAAAAGTTGGTGCTAAAAAGTCCTAACAGTACACTCAAATGCACTGACTTTAGATACAGCCAATGAACACTGGACCATTTCAGTAGGCCCTTTGCTAAGCCACCTTATGTGGGTGTCTTCTGAAGGTTCCGCCTGCTCTTCAGCTTTGACCAGTGCAATAGCACCTGTGACAGAAAACTAGCAGACAGATCTGTCCCATGTCATTTGAAGAGCCTCTGGACAGGACATACAGACGGACTGTCTCTATAATATTATGGTGATATTGTTTGAGAAAAATATCAAACTCATTGCTGAGTCGCTGCAACGTACAAATATTACTGTATAATAATTAAAACGTAGGGAAAGTTAAATAAAGTCACAAAAGACATTCAACAGAGAAATTTCAGGAAAGGTATAACATGCTTAAAATGATAAACTAAGTAAAATCAGTAGCTGAGATGGCTGGTAAAGGGACAACCCCTGCAGCTCATTGTTAAAATAGTGCCATATATGCTGCCAGCACCTACTCCTGTAGAGGTCTGAGGCTGAAGAATACTGTCCATGGAAAAAAGCCTGCATTATTTTTGCCATTTTTTGCATCTCCATAACTTATGCGGAGAGCAGCATTGTAATTTCTAATGTACCCATGTTCAGTTGCTCACTGTGACCCAACCACCAATGTGTCCCTGAGCAAGAAACTTAACCCCTAGTTGCTCCAGAGGCGTGTGACCTCTGACATAAATAGAAATTGTAAGTCGCCTTGGATAAAAGTATACATGAGCATGTGCACACAAAGGCGGCCTGTGTTCTAGGTCGATATATTTCAATTGAAAATTGGTTTGGTAGACCTGTCTCCTGTAAACGCCTGCCAGGCAGCAAGGAATAGACAGACAACAGTTTAGAGATTTAATGACAAAATGGAAACACATATCTTTACTGAATCATAAGACCGCCAAGGGTCAAAACCTGAATTAAGAAGGCAGACTTATCCAAAAGGGTTTGGCAAAGGATCATCAGTTCAGGCAAGTAGAGGTAAAATGGAAAATACTGCAGGGCCGATGAGGGAATGTAGAAAACAGATGAGCAGGTGGGCAGAGAAGGTCAGGTGTCAGGATCGCTGGGTGCGCAAAGCAGGGGAGAGCCGCAACGCATGACACTGTGAGCTGAGATTGAGTTCCAGGGTTTATTAATCCCAAGCATGACAAACAGAACTCCCAGGTACAGGAAACCGGTAGCATCCAAGAGCAGCAACTTCATACAACAGGGCATATATGCGACAATGACCGGACAGGGAATGAACAGAAACACCAGACATTTATACACAAGGACTAACGAGCAGGGCGGGAGCAACACTGGTGACTGGGATCAGGGTTAACGAGGCAGAGAGACAGAAGGGAAAACAGAGACAAGCAGGCAGGCAGAGAGACAGCAGGGGGGAACAGAGAGACGCAGATGCAAAACACAGAAGTACACAGACCGGGAGTGAACACTTAACACATAAGCTAAGGTACAGGACTAAGATACGAGGCAAGACAGATACTAAATAAGATGTGGAGGAATAATAAAGGCTGAACAGAGACTAGAGCTGAATGAACAAAATCAGATTACTGAAACTGGCAGAGAACATAAATGACACCTAACCAACTATAACACAGGGATCATAACAGAGAAATGAGAACACAGAGTACCCAGCAGACTAAACCCAAAAGATGCAGAGAAAGAACTAGAATCAAATACTACGACAAGAACTAAAACACAGGACTAGGAACACAGACATGGAACAAAAACCCAGACTCCGCAACAAGACACACAGACAGGACTGAAAACCAGACACGCTCAGGACAGGATCGTGACATCAGGTGACTGGGACTGGATGGAAAGGGGTCACTGCAGGGCAGGAGGGAGTGGCTGGAGTCAAAGTCAGTGAGATGACTGGTGGACAGGTAGAGGATTGCAAAGAATGGGTTTGGTGATGTGGGAATGTGAGAAAATACCCCAAATCCAATAAAGAACAGGATAGAGCCGACATAACTTTACTCACTGTGCGTGTGTGTGTGTGTGTGTCTCTGCGTGCGTGGGCACAGCGTTACGGCCTGTGGGACCATGAGGGCCCCCTGGAGGAGCAGAGCCCCTCACCAGAAAGTTGTAAGGATGAAAAAAATGAAGATGGAGGCGGGAAGGAGGAAAGAGGAGAGGTGGACGAACTGGACCAACTTGAAAAGGTTGGCGATATTAGTTGCTACTGGTTACTGCTCTCTCAATAACCAGTTTGACCAAAGCAGTGATCATGTAACAGTATCAGCAGACGTCTTTTTAAAGATATTAGACTGCTTTCCTAGTCTTTCTGTTGTTTATCAATATAGGATAAGGTGGACTATGTTGAACCGAGTACCAGCTCTTCTGCTGCTGCGACCTCTCAGCCTCCTACAGCGGAACCAGCACCCACTGGGTCAACAGACGGACAGGGATCTTCATCTGGGCTGAAGAACGGGGAGGATAAGATGGAGGGAGACAATGAGCAGGTGACAGAGGAAGTCCCAAAGAAAAGCAGCAGTATCCGCTTCCGCAAGAAACCCAAACAACCCAAACAACGGGGCAGCAAAGGTTTGTGGCTTCATTATGTCTGGACTGTGATGGTAGAGGTGTTACTCATAACATTAACTCTTCCATTAAGGCTGGAGCGCCAGAAACCAATAAAGTATGTGCAGTTTTTATTCAACTTCAACTTGTGCAGCGTACCCATGTTTGTAAATAGTACACAATTTATTAACTTCGTATAGTATTTTTCTATTCCTTCATGAACTGGATGCAACGATCAGCCACTACCCACAACTTTATCCCACAGGAACTCAATTGCAAACTTGACCTGCAATAGTGTTGCCCTTTTTGTCGTCTACAAGTCTCAACCAACCATGACATTGCATTAAACTAATTTGCTCTTACTATGTTCATCTGTCAGTACTCTGATAACTCCTGTGTCAGTAAGAGTCTCTGTAGATTTGTTTTTGGTGCTAATTCTCCCTGATTGTGGTTCTGACTGTTCCAGTGGAGCCCACAGCTGAGACTGCAGAGCCCTGTGAAGAGCCAGTGAAGAAGAAGCAGAAAGGCCGGAGGAGAGAGGAAGCCAGTCAGAGATTGCTGGCTGTGGGACACAAGATAAAACATGTCTTCATCTCTGGGTGAGTAGGATACAGAGGCTATGATGTCACCTTGTCACCACCGTCACCCTCTAAGAACATTTATATATTATCAATATGTTATGTTAATGATAAAATAATTATTTCTTCACAAATTATTTCAAGTCAATTAGCTGCAATCATAGGGCGAATTAAAAACATTGTAATCTATTACTCAAATGTTATTACTTTTTCCACTAATGCAGTGGTTTAATGCATTTCATTTTGTTTTACTCTGCAGTATTCAGAGTATTTACAGGCCAGCTCAGGGTTTCTTCATGGGTATTCTCCATGCCGAGTATCGGGCTGCCACAGATGTCTATGCACTCATGTTCCTGACGGATGTCATCGACTTCATCATCATCGTCTTTGGGTTTTGGGCTTTTGGGGTGAGAGATGGAGGGAGGGTTGGATGGAAGTTGTCATTTTGTAATTATTTACCAATTATCAACCATTTACAATAATGAAATCAGAAACTACTACAAGAATCAAATTTAGTGATTAAAATAACTTTCAGAATTTAAGCTAAACTGAAATGAGGTCATCTACAGAAACCTGAAATGCAACCCAACTTTCCAAGGCCTGTCTTATTTTACAGGCAGTGTGAAGTATTGGTTTCATTAACATTCATTACAGATATATCAACCAGTGACCAGTAAATTCACACTTAGTTCACACTAAGCTGGCGGACGGCGAGCAAACTGGCTGGTAACTTAGCGGACAGGCAGGCAGCGACTCCGCACACAGGAGAAACTGTGACGGAAAACAAGACGTTAGGCAAGATCACAAAGAATGCACTCTCAAGACTATAAAGGTGGCCGGAGCAATATACCACTGCAGGTAAACTGACGAACTGGCGAAGAGTGGGAGCTGAACCAGAGCTTATAACTGCAGGGGTTGATGATGATGAGCCACAGCGGAGTGCTGCAGGTGGAGATGAGCCAGGCCCGGACACACACACACACACACACACACACACACACACACACACACACACACACACACACACACACACACACACACACACACACACACACACACACACACACAAACAAGACTAGACAGACACGACTGACAGAGACAACAGGGAAGGGAAAAACTGAGAACACAAGGAAGGAAGGGAGGAGAGAGAGCCAACCCATAGCAATAATGGTTTACTGCTGTTTGATAAACAGGCAGAGCATCTAAGGAGTTTATGTTTCTGTCTAAACCCGCATAGACTCCAGGTGGTGCTTTGCCTACTTGAAAATGCATTGGTATTGTGGTGTGATACAGCAGGTTTTGTGACTGTTTTTTAATTATTTTTTCCATTTAGTATTTGTATATTTACTGTGCTTTTTATAGTCTGCAACAACAATGTCAGAAACTGGGTTTAAATATTTAAGATGCAGATCACCCTGTTGCAAAATTGCATTGCACAACATTATGCACAAACGTAAATTTAACTTTAAAAGCTAATATGTCAGGCGGGTTATTCTTGTCCAAGCCATCCCCTACATTTGTTGGGCCACTTTCATTATGCGCCACTGTATGTATATGTATGTATGCGCCAAGTGATGTAACCTGTATGACAGGGTATCGATTCATCTTTTTTATATTCCATCACGTCCACCTGACTCTTTAGCACATAGCACGGCTGCACCTACAATAACAAAAACAGAGGTGCATTTGTAATTTCAGTTATTTTCATTATTAAAGGCAATGGTAACATCATAAAGTAAATATGTTAGACGCCATTTCATATTTTAAATCATTTAATAGAGAAAATCCCTCATGGCCTGCACCTCTCTCCTTCAGAAACACAGTGCAGCAGCGGATATAGCCTCCACCCTGTCAGAGGACCAGGTTCCCGAGGCCTTCCTGGTAATGCTGCTCATCCAGTTCAGCACCATGATCATCGACAGAGCCTTGTACCTGCGCAAGGCCGTCTTGGGAAAACTCATCTTCCAGGTTAGCCATTATGTATCTGTCTGTCTGGTTCCATGTTTTTCCCTTTGAAGACATCCGGAGGTGGAGGACTGTGGCTCTCAGTTATTGAAATGTTTAGAGTTGACTTGCTCTGAATTTTTAGAACATCTCAACTAATGTGCTTTTTAGTTTTATTTTCCTTACACCCTTCCTATCCTCCCTCTGTTGTCCCTTCCATTCAGGTGATCCTTGTGTTTGGGATCCACCTGTGGATGTTCTTCATCCTGCCTGCTGTCACTGAAAGGTAAAGTCAAACTAAATTATTACATCACCATGGCCTGTCTCTGAGTAAAAATGCATCACTCTGATAGTGCAGTACCATACAGTATATATGAGTTGAGTCTTCAGAATATTGCTGCAAATTAAATTAAACAATCTTTAATCGTCCTCGTCTCTCTGTCTCTCTGTACAGGATGTTCAATCAGAACTTTGTGGCCCAGCTCTGGTACTTTGTCAAGTGTATTTACTTTGGCCTGTCAGCCTATCAGATCCGCTGTGGATACCCCACTCGTATCCTCGGCAACTTCCTCACTAAGAAATACAACCATCTCAACCTGTTCCTCTTCCAAGGGTACGGACACAAAGTCTGCAGCTGTCTGTGCTTTTCAGTAGAAATAACATTTGGACCAAAAAGTCCAAGAATTTATTGACAGTATGATTTGGATGCTATGTGTGTGTGCGTAGGTTTCGTCTGGTGCCGTTCCTGGTAGAGCTGCGAGCAGTGATGGACTGGGTTTGGACCGACACCACTCTGTCTCTGTCAAACTGGATGTGTGTGGAGGACATTTATGCCAACATCTTCATCATTAAATGCAGCCGAGAGACAGAGAAGGTAGGAAGTGCACGAGTACAGTGATGTGACAGCAGACCAAATTACTTCTTCTGGGATTAGGGTCCTGTTAGGAAAAAAAACTTGATTGAAACTAGGCAGGCTCCACTCTGACGTGAATTTGGATGGACAGACAGAAGCGGTGGTGCGCTGTGTTTGGAAATGAAGAACTGATTGTTCTAGCAGTGTGTTGTGACTTCATTTTGTACTATATCACACTACGGTCTATACACTGCAGCGTTACTTTCTGTTTCAGACTGTGATCACTGTTGAAAATGGAACAATTAAATTTATTTATTTATTACCTACATCACATCCTTTGTTGCGACTGAGTGCAGGGGATTTCCTTGAATAGAAAGCTAATGTGACTGTGCCTTATACAAAGACAGACTGACAAAGACTGTTTTCAGTTCTCCCCTCCATCTGTTTTTGTTGACGTGTCCAGTGTGCCATTAGTGCTATAGTTTTAGGATTAAATGAACATGAGACAGTTTTTTAAAAAGATATTTTTGGACAGGACAGCGGATAGCAGTAGGAAACAGGGAGAGAGATAGGGGGCGACACACAACAAAGGCACCCGGGATGCTACATTAAGGACTCAGCCTTGTACATGGGGCAGACACGCAACCAAGAGAGCTAACCACATTCAGCCCCTTGGGACCTTACCTCTTGGTCCATCCTTTTAGCCTCACTACTGCCTACACTGTGTCTACTCTGGCTGGTTTCAAAGCAGCACAGCAGCTGTACTCCTTTGTCAGTGTCTACACTAGATGTGTTAGATGGCAGTACTGCTGTGAGCTCAGAAGTGCCACCCTATGGAGGAAACTCATTTGGGTCGCTTGTACCCACAATCTTATTCTCTCGATCACTATCTAAAGCTCATGTCCACAGGTGACAGTCGGAACATGCAGTAGTTAGATTGAGAGCTCTGCCTTCAGGCGTAGCAGCATTAGTGCTTACGCCGTATCAATCCGCCTGATGATCTCAAGCTCCATTCTACCCTCACTTGTGAACAAGAACAAGAACTCCTTTGTTTGGAGTAGCAAGTCATTCCCAACCCAGAGGGAGCAACCCGCACACTTTTCTGGCAGAGAACCCTGGCCTCAGACTTGAAGGTGCTGACTTTTATCCCGACCGCTTCACAATCGGCTGCAAACCACCCCTGTGCAGATTATGGGGTTCTGTTGGCTTCACCACACCATGAACTTCAAATCGCAAAGAGCCAGAAACAGGTTCTGAGGTCCCCAAACTGGACACTCTCCTTCCCCTAGTTGTACCTTGAGATTCTATAAATAAAAACCATTGAATAAGGACTGAATAGCTCACAGCTACACCCCAGGGAAGACGGTTATAAGTCTTCTCCAAGTCACCACAGTCCATGTAGACTTGATGAGCAATCTCCCTTTACCTCTTCACTAACCCTGCAAGGGTGAAGAGATAGTCCACTGTTCCATGGTCAGGACGGAATCCATATTGGTCTTACTGGATCTGAGGTTTGATAACTGTCTATCAAAGTCTTCTTTCCAGTACCCTGGGCTCGTGGGTATCCCCACACCCATCCGAAACCACCCCTCATCCTGAGCAAAGTACAACCCCTCTCCAGGAGTTAGGTTCCAGGCGAGGTTCTGCAGCTTTGATGATTCATCCAGGATTTGAGAATCGCTCTTAGTCTGGCCCCTCAAGTGGGACCAATTTTCCTTGGAGTTCCTACCAGAGTCTGTTGCCCCCGACAACACAGCTCCCGGTGTCACAAAGATACACAAACCCTAGTGCTAGTTTCCTCTAAATTATCGTTAAAATTACGTGTAAAGAAAATACTGAACATTATATTTTTGCAAAAGTTTAAAAAAATGTATTTATTGCATCATATTTACAAACTGTTTATCTCTCAATATTTTCTGCCCTCAGAAATACCCACAGCCTAAAGGGCAGAAGAAGAAGAAAATAGTGAAATATGGCATGGGTGGACTCATCATCTTCTTCTTGATCTGCATCATCTGGTTTCCCCTTCTCTTCATTTCATTGGTCAGATCAGTGGTGGGCGTGGTCAACCACCCTATCGACGTCACAGTGACCGTAAAGCTGGGAGGATATGAGGTAATCCACATTTCATATAGCAGTCTGTTATAGTTTCTCTTAAAATAGAAAAATAGAAAAAGTTGTGAGTACTCTAAAGCTCAGTAGCTGCATTTAATATAATTTGACAACAAAACTTTCAAAACTGCTTTCTGAGTATTGTTTAAATTACTTAAACAAATGGAGTCCATGCTGAAAAGTTTTTTTTTATTTTAATAATTAAATAGTGCAGTGTGTAAAAGGAATAGACATACTGTCAATATGCAATAAGTATACAAGCATCACAGTGATCGAAAGTGAAGTCACTTCCACTAAGAGATGGCATGCAATACATTCTCTGATGATGGAAGCAGAGTCAGCTCAGTTAGGGATTGGAGACTACAGAAAGACAGTCTTATAAACGGTGGGCGTGGAGTTTGAAGAACGTATGAGTTTTAAGTTCTGTTGTTCAGATTATCTGGCATGTATATTTTTCATGAAGGTGGGTAATCCCTGTAGATCATAGATTATTATTAGAGTCCTCTGCCAGGGCTCATAAAAGTACAGACACCACGCACATCACAGGTTTCAGAATGCAAAGAACTTGTTCACAGATGGAAATCAATTAAGTAGCAAGGGATCAGTCTACAGGCAAATGGAATATAACTACAGATTTAAAACGAAAATGACACAGTTTATGAAATGTGCATAATTCACTGGTGTATTTTTTTCTATGGGTTTGTCTAGCCCCTGTTCACCATGAGTGTGCAGCAGCAGTCCATCAAGCCCTTCACCGAGACTCAATATGAACAACTCACCAAAGATTTTGGAGACAATGCGGTGCGTAGGGATTTTACTTAGATTTATGTGATTTATGTACTGCTACTTTGTGTTTCCTATCTTTTCTTTTCTGTTTTTTTTATTTCAAATGTTCACATTAGTATATTTTTAATAATGTATAAAAATAACATTAAAACCATAACAATAAAAATATAAATAAACAACAAAATAAGTTCAAATTGAGCCCTGAAGAAAGGGCCAATTAGCCATTAGTAGAATATAATAAGTTGGTACAAAGTTAATGTTGTTAGGCAAATGTTCTCAATTAAAGTGGAATACTAAACTTACAGTTTTCATCATCAGTATTTATAAGAGCACTTTATCCTTCTCTTTTGCTGGAGTCAGGAACTTCAATACTTATCCTGAGGGGAGATAAAACAGTTAAATAGTATAATACTTATTATACTAACATGTTAATAAAGTCAATTTAATATGCTTTTACATTATAGAATTAGAAAGTTCAACTTTTAAATGTTCTCTTTGGACATAGCTTTCATTATTCAAAAAGCTATAAAGCTGTTTTTTCTCTCTCTCCAAATCACTCCATGACATTGTGTGCTTTCAATAATGGTAATCACAAGATGTCCCATGCTACTGTAGACAACGTTAATTTCTGTCAATGCTGTATAGCTTGTTCGCTTTCTTTCAGTCTGCTAGCTAGTTGAGTTCCACACTCGATCACAAGATTAGGTTAACTAACAAAAAATGTGAAGGAAAAAACACAATTGGTCTAACGCCAGCGGACGTTATTGAAGTGTCTTCCCCACAGTTAGGAGTAGAATGAACAGCATTCAGAAAGTTATTTACTGTAAACTCAATCGTCATTATCTGCTCAAAATGCTTTCTTTTTTCCTCATCTTCTTTTTTTCTTCTTCATGTTTTCACTTCATGCCTCTCAACTCTTCGTACATGCACTAGTCATCTCTGGCCATGACTACTGTAACATCTTTTTGGCTCCCAATTGAAACTAGTAACTTGATTCATTCAGTCTTCAAAAACATAAGACCTACCTCTGAGAGTGCTAAACTCACCTAATATACTCTTTCCCTCTCTCTCCCGCTATCTCCACCTTATCTTTAAAAAAATATAATTTACTTTCTATTGACTTATTTGCCTGCACCTGCAGCTTTCTGGCACTCGGCTTCGGTGGGACATGGATTGATTGCTTGGATTGTACCTCATTTGTGTGTCATTTTGGCATAAATGTAAATGATGTTCTGCCTTTGCTCTCTCTCAGTTCATCATTCTCTTTGTGAAGTAAGGGTGTAATTTCCAACGGAGATGGAGGAGACATGTCTCCCTCACTTATTAAGTCCTGCTCTTTTTCCCAGTAATTGTAATAAATTAAGTGAAGGTGAATTATAGATGTCCATCCATCCATCGTCAACCGCTTATCCTGCGTACAGGGTGTGATGTTGAAATTTATTTCTAACTTCTTTGGCAGCATAACCAGGCACAACCTGATCCTCAAAAGTTATAGTGAAATTTTACTTGTGAATAATTGACACAAAATATATGTATGTGCATCTAGGTAGCCATGCAGTTCATCACTCTCTATAGTTACGAGGACATCGTGACGGCCAGCATCGAAGGTAGTTCAGGATCGGTTTGGAGGATCAGCCCCCCCAGCAGACAGGAAGTCATAAAGGAACTACTTGGAAGTCATGCTGACCTAACACTACGTCTGTCCTGGAATTTCCAGAGGTAAAGTCTTTGCTCTCCTTATTACAAAATGGCATTATACAGTTATGCATAATTATTCAAACAAACTGGGTAAATGTCATCTAACGTTAGCATCCTAAAGCTGAAATAGAAAGTTCACCCCAGATGGTATCAGCATTTTTAAACTGCTCCGCCCCCGGAAAACCAGCAGCCGTGAGCTCTTGTTGTTAGCTAAGGCATAACTGCATATTTAGCAGGTCTTTAATAAGGTGATTTTTATATGTAGCCTAGAGCTCATTTCTCATTACGTTTTACAAGATGGCTCATGTAAATGTTTGCTAGTTTTTTAACATGGTAAGAAAATTAGAAAGGCATAATAAATAGACATTAAATGAAAAATGCCACCGCATCCACTTTGGGAACCACTGCTGTAAAGTAACTGTACACTACATCAGTATACTGATAATGTCTGAAATTATTGGTGAGTTTAACAAGCTGTGAGGAGTCTGAAATGTCCTAAAAGGGTCACTGTATAAAAAAAATTACAACTTTTTAACATGTCTTTCTTCTGGCCCCACCCTCAGGCCAAACGTGTTTTTTGCACATTAATCTATAGTAGCAGTATCAGCCTTAAAATAAATAATAATAATAATAAAGCTGCTCATGCAAACTATTGTACATATAATACACTGAGTGAAGTGAATAGTGTCATAGTGTCCTAGGAGATAATACAAAACACATTATATGGATTGCAGTCAATTTGTCTTTTCCTCTCTGTAATAGTTCTTCTGCTATATCAGTTTTGGTTGATTTAAGTGGGTCTATGTGATGCATCTTTGAATGTTTCTCTGACAGGGACCTGGGTAAAGGAGGGACGGTGGAACACACCTCCGACAAGCACTCTATAGACCTGCAACCCGGGGACCCAGTCAGAGCAGATCTGGCCTCACTGCTGATTGGCAATCACACTGAGCCGGTGTATGTTGCCTCTCTGGAAGGATGTTGATGTGAATACAAGTGTTTGGCGATTTATTTAATGCATATAGTAGTATCTTACAGATGGTGTCTTGTCTCTTTCCCAGGCATGTTCCTAATATGTTCCCTAACTACATCCGCGCCCCTAATGGAGCTGAGGCCAAACCAGTCAGTCAACTAGATAAAGGTCAGAGTTGACTGAGTTACTGTTAACATGTATACAATATAAGATTTGTTGGGCAAAACCATTTCCAGGATCAGACCAGATCGTCATGGAAGGGGCCACCAAAACATCAAAGTAGTTAATGGCTGCTTTCTGTTCTAAGTACAGTAACAGTTTTACCAGTATCAAGTCAGAAGTAACAAACAAGATGCCCATAAGGAAACTTCAGGTCACTGTGTAACATTAAAATCAGAATTAGGTTTATTATTAAGTAGGTTTCACATGCACGGAATTATAATGGAAATGCCATCATATAATTGACAAACTTTGCGTAATCCTTGTAGTGTCTTTTGAAACATTTGCCTCTCTCTTCTTCCTGGATTAATTTGACTAACCTGGTGTCACAGAGTCTTCTGTGTCTCTAACAGTGATGAGCACAATGCTGGTAAACTGTTTGTTCGGGTGTTTGCAGAAGGATGAACACTAAATAGCAGTATAGCAACCAACAGCCAAAATACCATTACAGCAACTTTGTCCTTGTATAGATAGATACCCACATGTATTTTAGTTATTCACACCTTAGTGTCTGTTTTAACCAAGAGATTGCTTGTTTTGTAGGTAATGAAGGGTACCGGAATATAACACTATCCCTGAAGAGTGACAGGTCACTGAACGGCAGTGGGAATCAGGAGTGGTGGGACATCGCCATCGCAGGCTGTGCCCCCACCTCATGTGGGGTTCTACCCATGGTCATATTCAATGACAAAGTCAGTCCACCCAGTCTGGGCTTCCTGGCTGGATATGGGTAAGGAACACACACTCACAAACAATATGTACATGGGTTAGATATAAACACCTTTAATATTCTCAAAGATCCATAAATGTTTAAAGAGCAGTTTAAGTAGTTAAAGATGTTCCCAAGTCCATGACCAGTACCAGTTGCCACAGGTTTTCAGCTGAGATCTAGTAATAACCACAGGAGCCCTGTCTACTGATCTAAGTGGAGACGCAGGCAGTTAAGGAGTCAACAAATCAGTGAGACATTTTGTTACAAGGCCATTTAACACCTTGAAAGTCAGCAGTAAAATTGTAAAATCGGTGCTTTGCCAAACAGGGAGCTAATGTAAGCTGGCTAGAGCGGGTGATCAGTGTTCTACACAAGTTTGAGCTGGTGAAGAAGCTTTACCAGATACAGAATAAAATGAGTGTAAATAAATTAGCAGGAAGCAAAAATGACAAATGATTTTCTTTAGTTGAAGACAAAAAAAATGTGATTGGACAATATTCTTCACTTGGTTTTGTTGAGAATCTGTTTTAACATTTTAAGCAAATGAGCTTTCCTTTTTAGTCCATCCATCATTGTTTTCACATTTCTGCAAAAAGTCAATTTATATTCCAGTCCATTCCTGACTGCTGATTTGTTTTGTTTATGGTTATCAAAAGATTAGGTTTTTGATAGTTACCATACTGCTCTACTTTTCTTCTCTAATCCCTCCAGGATCATGGGTCTGTATGTGTCTGTGGTCTTAGTCATTGGGAAGTTTGTGCGTGGCTTCTTCAGTGAGATCTCCCACTCCATTATGTTTGAGGAGCTGCCCTGTGTGGACCGCATCCTCAAGCTCTGCACAGACATCTTCCTGGTTAGTGTGCAGCGTGTGCATATTAATACAGCACATGCATTTACACACACACACACACACACACACACACACACACACACACACACACACACACACACACACACACACACACTGGTCTAAACATTAGCATAGCCATGCTGTCTCGTTTAAATAATACGTCCACAAAAGAACACTCAGCACTCCTGGAAAATCATTTCTTTGTAATCCTCTTCCACAAACTAAAGTTTCTGTGTGTTTCAGGTGCGTGAGACTGGAGAGTTGGAGCTGGAAGAGGAACTTTACTCCAAATTGATCTTCCTCTATCGATCTCCGGAGACTATGATCAAATGGACCAGAGACATCCACAACCGAGACCAAGACAGATACTGACTGACTGGCTGATAACGTTTGGTTGCAATAGAACACAGTGATTTCTGAAGCACATTGCAAAGATGTCCATGAGGACAGCACATGGGAGGCTTCTTCCTCCTTACCCGAGTGGACATTGACTCACAGACAAGGAGACACATGAAAGGAGATTATTAGACACTAATAGACATACTGTATGAAACATCTCCTGTTGCTGGACACTGGTCGCTGTTGCATGTTCACAGCTGCCTAAGCACTTTCATCAAACCACCTTACACTACAGACTATTGAGAGTGGAATTGCAGTCACACTATGGGTGAGATTGACGGCAGCAGGATCGGACATATCGCCCCTAGAAGGCATCATCAGAGGTCAAATTGAGCGGTGTTTCTCCACTGCGTGGCTGTAACCATCTGCAGTTACTGTATCAGTATGCTGATTGATTTGAACGTGCCATGCTGTCTATCAAACTTGGAAATGTTTTAAAAATCATTCAATCTTGTAAATGTGACGTGTGTGTGCAGTGGCCATGGTGATTTGGCTTTACAGCATGAAACAAGGTTTAAAGGGCTATTTTATGTTCTATTTACCTGGTCAGAAGTAGCCAAAGTCTGAGTTTGGACTGGTAATCAAAAGCAGCTCTTTCAGTTCCAGGCCACCACAGCTCCCAGGTTCAGGGACAATGGATAAGACAGGTTAGTGAGCTGTGGATCAGGCTTCAGGAAGACAAGTGTCCTGAAATAGTTCCTGCTGGTTGCCTTTAGTTGGCCATTTCAAAACCCAAGTTCAGTTCAGTTCGCTTCAGAATACCTTTTTTAATTAAAATGTACACACAGCAGAGCACAGACATACAGTAAACCTCAATAAGACCCACAGGACGCCCCTCAGACAAGTGTTGGATTTGAATGTAACATAAGGGAAAATTGCAATATGATTTCAACCATAAAAAAACATTTTGGGTTTAAGTGCCGGTTCTTTGTTGGTATAATGAGTGTGCAACCTTTACAAGAAAATAAAGTAAAACAGCCCTCTACATCGGAAAGCATATATTACACTGATTACAAAGTGAACATTGATTGGTTGATGAGTTGACTGATGGGCTGGACTCATCACCCATGAGCCCATGTCCTTGCCCCTCAGACTGAATTTATTTAATTTTTTTATTTTCATGCTAAAGCTTTTTGTTCCGTCTTAGTAGGACTACATGATCTGAAGAAAATATACAGGGGGTACGGAAAGTATTCAGACCCCTTTAAATTTTTCACTCTGTGTTTCATTGCAGCCATTTTCCAAAAATCAAAAAAGTTCTTTTTATTTTTAAAATTTTATTTATGTGCACTCAGCACCCCATCTTGACAGAAAAAAACAGAAATGTAGAAATTATAGCAAATTTATTAAAAAACAAAAACTGAAATATCACATGGTCATAAGTATTCAGACCCTTTGCTGTGACACTCATATTTAACTCACATGCTGTACATTTCTTCTGATCCTCCTTGAGATGGTTCTACTCCTTCATTGGAGTCCTGCTGTGTGTAATTAAACTGATTGGACTTGATTAGGAAAGCCACACACCTGTCTATATAAGACCTTACAGCTCACAGTGCATGTCAGAGCAAATGAGAATCATGAGGTCAAAGGAACTGCCTGAAGAGCTCAGAGACAGAATTGTGGCAAGGCACAGATCTGGCCAAGGTTACAAAAAATTTCTGCTGCACTTAAGGTTCCTAAGAGCACAGTGGCCTCCATAATCCTCAAATGGAAGACGTTTGGGACGACCAGAACCCTTCCTAGAGCTGGCCGTCCGGCCAAACTGAGCTATCGGGGGAGAAGAGCCTTGGTGAGAGAGGTAAAGAAGAACCCAAAGGTCACTGTGGCTGAGCTCCAGAGATGCAGTCGGGAGATGGGAGAAAGTTGTAGTAAGTCAACCATCACTGCAGCAATCCACCAGTCGGGGCTTTATGGCAGAGTGGCCCGACGGAAGCCTCTCCTCAGTGCAAGACACATGAAAGCCCGCAAAGTACAGAGAGATCCTGGAAGAAAACCTCATCCATAGTGCTCAGGACCGTAGACTGGGCCGAAGGTTCACCTTCCAACAAGACAATGACCCTAAGCGCACAGCTAAAATACCAAAGGAGTGGCTTCGGAACAACTGCCAGAGCCCTGACCTAAACCCAACTGAGCATCTCTGGAGAGACCTGAAAATGGCTGTCCACCAACGTTTACCATCCAACCTGACGAACTGGAGAGGATCTGCAAGGAGGAATGGCAGAGGATACCCAAATCCAGATGTGAAAAACTTGTTGCATCATTCCCAAGAAGACTCATGGCTGTACTAGCTCAAAAGGCTGCTTTTACTCAATACTGAGCAAAGGGTCTGAATACTTATGACCATGTGATATTTCAGTTTTTGTTTTTTAATAAATTTGCAAATTTCTACATTTGTGTTTTTTTTTCTGTCAAGATGGGGTGAGTGTACATTAATGAGAAATAAAATGAACTTTTTTGATTTTTGGAAAATGGCTGCATGGAAACAACAACAAGAGTGAAAAGCAGTTTAAAGGGGTCTGAATACTTTCCGTACCCACTGTACAATAGCCAACTAACTTATTGATCTGATGATTTGATCCTGATATAACAAATATTTGTACTGTGTCTCTGGCTTGACATGCTGCACACGACTGACAAAGAACAGTAATGCAGGTATGAAGTCAAATCATGTGAGATGAATGGCACCTGGGTTGGCTTAGGGTTTGACAGACACAATAGCAATATAGTTAATACAGAACAACAATCTAACTGATACTTTTCAATCAGATGTAGCCCAGGAACAGCCCAGTGCCTCATTTATTGCTTACGCACAAAAAAAAGCTTGAAATGTGCGTATACCACTTTGTTAAGCATAACTTTTGTTTTTTTATTTGAGGAAATGTGGGTCCATTTAGGGAAACTTTGACCCATGCATACAAACATTTTGGAGAAGAGAAATTAGGCTGCAATAATTATTCCATGAGCAATCAGCAGTAAAAGGTACAAGCCAAATCAAATGTTTCGTCTTCCTCTCGGTTGTTGTTGCCGGCTCACTTATATGCATCAGTATATTTGAGGTGGTTTGCTTCGAACATTTATGGCTGAATGTGAGGACGCATTTCCTGGTGTGCTTACGCATGGTTTTATAAATCTGATGGGGTTTTTTGCACGCCATTTTCAGTTTTCGTGTGTGTACACTTTTAGTATGGATTCTACGCACTGTTTTATGAACGAAGCCTCTGAATTTTTTACACCAGCATTCACGGTTACCAAAGATTCTTTGTGTGTCTCTTGGTTTGGTCATTTGTGTAATAGCAAATAAGTTTGGGAATATGAACCACTAAGGCACTAAACGATCGGGCCCTTAAAGTGGGCCTGTATTATTTACCTGTGTCAAAATTTACATGGTGCGTATTCCTAAATAAATTTGTTTATGAACGGGTTATCAGTAGGGGCACGCTGCTCATTCTTTTCCCCAGGTCCCCTAGTTAATCCAGCCATGCACTCAGCAGTGTATTCTGCTGTTTCATCACTACCCATAACACAACAAATTATCTCAGATCATTTCAGAAACTTTTTAATCTCCCATAGAAAGACATACATTTGTATTAGAATTGCTATAAAACTATTTCCTGATACTTCCTTCTGCAGTACTTACTGCAGGACTGCCACAGTAACCACTGGACATTAAAAGTGATCTTAAATCTGGAGGCTAATAATTCCTGTGTTGCAATAGAAAAATACATGGCACACACACTAAACTTCCAAGTAAAAAAACATCTGTCACTATTTATTGTGTTGGCTCTCAGACATTGTGATCTTGAAAAAACACTGCTGTTTTATTTTCTACCTAAAGGTACAGACATTCTTTTTTTATCTACACTCATTAAAGACATTAAAAATAATGTAAAAGAAAACCATCTTGGTTTTACAATGCCAAAAATGACTAAAGGGAATAGAGATTAGTTAAACCAGCCATGGTATTGTGTAAGCAATGGAATTACCTGCACAGTAAACTAGTCCGTTATCTCTTTGTTAAGTGAGGAGGAAAAATGGAAGTGGCCTTTCTCATTTGGTGGTCTCATTTCTGAGCAATTTAATTTCAATTCAGTTTTATTCATATAGGTCCTTATCATAACAGACGTTATCTTTTTGCAGCTTCCTGCGGCTGTGTAAAACCTGCTAAACAAACATCCCCTCCTACCACTATCCTGAAAACATTTTCCATATCATGGTACAATTCAAGATGTGTTTAACGTATTCTAAATATATCTGCGAGCTGCTTGTCTCTAGTTACAGTCGGTGTGTCAGAAATGATTAAACCAGAAGGGACATGTAAATAAACATGAGCTGAACAAGACTCAAACACGGCTTTCTGCCTAACAAAGTTCTCTAATGTTACCTCTTCTTTTAAATGTGCAACGTTAGTGTGAAATCTCAAAGCAGCAGGTCCTCATTGTAAACAGACATGTAGTATTAGATTAATTCAAGGGCAGCATTTTCTCTGTGTCACTGTATCATAGATGACATGTTTTAGAGCCGGGTGGTGGTTAGGAAATGGTTTCTCGTAGCTACAATCCTAACATCTCAGGCAGACGGCCTGAGAACAGGGGTCAGCAGAAGAAAACAGAGAAAGCAAGGGACCTCCGATGGACCTGGCCTGAGGGTTGTGGGAAGCAGGACACTTCAGTTGGACGGCCTGGAGGCGGGACAGAAGAGCTGAGAAGGTCCGGAGGATGACCTGCAGGTCGATGGCAAATGCAAAACCCCTCTGCTGGCCAGTGGCGAGAGTGAAAAACCTTTGGAGGCCGATGATGATGACGCCGAATCCTCTCTGGAGACCAGCAGCGAAGGCGAGACCCCTCTGGAGGACATGCAGGAGGCCAGCGGCGAGGGTGGAAACCCTCTGGAAGTCAGGCAGGAGGCCAGGGCCAAAAGTGGAAACTCTTAGGAGGGCGGCAAGGAGGCCAGTGACAAGGACAGGGACTCTCTGGAGGATGGGCAGATGGCAAGCGACAAGACCCAAGACCAAGACCAAGACCAGATGACTGGAGTTCAAGACTAGAGACTGGCGACAGGACAGTTAGGCTGGAGGCGTGAGCAGAGCTGGAGATCGGCAAATGGACAGCAGAGCTAGAGACTGCTCTATATCAACGGGCACAGGATGTGGCAGCAGTTTAATAAAGTCAGGGGCTTGCCGTAACTCAGCAGGGTCAGGAGATTGCTGTCGGTCCACTGTAGCTCAGTGAGGATAGGAAGCTGCTTCAGTTAAGGCTCGGTTGACTGTGGCAGCACAGGAACCGGAGTCATTTGAAGCACGGCCGGGAGAGGAAGTTGCTGCAGCTTAACAAGAGTCAAGCTGATGATACCCGGGGCAACTTTTTGAGCAATGTCGCTGGGCAATGTTGCTAGTGGCAAGTCCGACTATGTTTTGAACGGATAGCGAATGGCGGAGTGGTGGGGGAAGGGGATTACGGTAGTAATCTTTACTCATTACCATTGACGACAACGTTGCCCTGCGGGATTGCTCTAAAAGTTGCTCTGTGTCATCAGCTTTAGAGTCAAGGAGTCCACCAGCTGGACACAGGAGTCGGCCTTGTTGGCTTCTGGACACAGTAAATAAGAGTTGCCACTGATTAACAATTTAGACCCTGCCTACAATGATGGATTACTAGTTGATGAAACATGGCGAAACAGACAGAATTGTATATGGCCCACATTCAAAAAAGATTAGCCACCCTAAAGAATCAAGTTAATAGTTAAAGCAGTAGTCGGTAACAGTTGAACATATAATGCGAAACCTTTCACGTCTCTCTCTCTGCTGCTCGTATCACGCCGCTACTTATAAATTACTACTTTGTATGTTTAAAAATGTATGGCGTAATAGTTGGACACTTGAATATCTGCTTGTCGTTATTTTCCTAGATTTCTGCTTTCAGAGCTTGTTATTAATCATTAAATTATTAATTTTCAGGGCAACCATAATGCTGATGTGGACAGGTGTTGTGCCGAATTCGGCCTGCCTGCCGAGAATTGCATGCACCTCGCGATAACGCTCATGTATATTGAGATGCAAATCTCGGCAGGTAGAATAGTCCTTTGTTCTGCCGAATTATGCATCCACTTCTTCAGGTCCTTTTCAGACACTTTGCTGTGCTCATTGATCAAACGCGGTTATCACCACATATTTGCTGAATGTCAAGGAATGGTAGGCTACTTCGACTAAGTGTATTAAAATATACACTTTAAACCTTCATGTAATATATACTTTGAATCATTTATCACAATTGATGAACCCCACAAAGATTATTACAGCGTTTAAAAGCATTACTTGGAGGTGCATGCAATTCTCGGCATAACACCGGGACCAAACAGAGTTTAACACCCCTGTAACTAATGGGATATGGTTGCAACAGCATTGCAGAAAAAGCTCCTCGCGATGCTATCGGCTCGCCACAACCCCACAATGCACTTGCCTCACGGAGCAGGACTTCCGGCATGTGACGTGTCCGCCTGCTGCAGAACCGGATGCTGGTGGCTGTCCAGTGTGGATGACAGATGCAGCGTAAAGTGCCACAGAGGGGAGAGATAACCGTGTTAATCTGCAGAGAAGACTGGCGGCTGTGAAGATGTTGCTGTGGCTGCTCGGAGCTGCGCTGCTGGGTCGGGCGGCCGCCTTCTACCTCCCGGGTCTGGCGCCCGTCAGCTTCTGTCAGCCTGGAACAGACCAGGTTCCAGACTGCAAGGTAAACATAACATGTCACAGATCACCTGTGTATCTGACCTTACCAGATGTTTCAACAAAATAACCGAATAACCAATGCAGAGCACACCACCCAGTTATAAACAGCCAGGAGGTGTTGCAGTGAAGTAGGTCAGCCAGTAAACAGGCAGTCAGCTAACGTTAGCCAAACAAACAACACAGCTAACGGACACTATGCTAACGAGATAGCAAGCTAGCTGGATAGCTAAATACGTCAAAGTTACTTCCGTCGTCTGGATGTCAAACTAATAACAGGCATTGACGGATTGTAAAACGTTAAGTGACTCCTGGTTGTTTAGTTAGAATGACATTCTCTCGGTAAGGCTGCTACTGATCACGGATTAAAAAGAAATATACTGAGAGTTTCCACATTCAGGAGACTTTAAGAGCCATTACCTTGTCTCATGTCTGTTGTCACCATTTTTATAGTTTTATAGTTAAATATTTGTTAACTCATTTACAGTACCCTACAAAGTGCGTGTTGTAAAAGAAGGTGGATGTATGATGTATTACACCTCGTTATGTCACGACCTCTAAAATCGAGTGGTTTACTTTTGTAGTCACCATCATCATCAGTGACAGATTTGGACAGCCCTGCCAGACTGATCAGATTACACACATTCAGAAGAGACTAATTATTTTTGTTTATTTTAATGAATCAAGTTAGTTGTCAACTATTAAATTAATCGGCTTACTATTTTGATAAATTCTATGATTCCAGCCTCTTAAACGTGAATATTTTCTGGTTGCTGTACTCCTCCGTGACATTAAACTGAATATCTTTGGATTGTGGACAAAACAAGACTTATAAGGACATCATCTTATGCTTTGGGAATCACGGACAAACAATTTTGGCCATTTTATTGACCAAATTAAAGCCCAACCGATAAGTGGTCGACATGAGTTAATTGCAGATAAATTGGTATTCGTGTTTATAACAGCCAATAAATGACAATTGAAAAAGAAACAAAGTGTTGTCAATAGTTTGTCCGCCATAGGGCGCTCTGAGCTCCCCTGTTGGTAACATCTGTTTTGAACTTTGAAAATCCACCACAAAACAGCCTTTAGCTGACATGATCAGCTGTACTTTTGTTCTGTACTATTTCTAACAATAAAAAAAGTTTATTTTTAACAACATGTCATGTTATCTTGGTGAGGTCTCATTACTACACATAACAACTGTTAGGAATAGTCTTTGTTTATGTTCTGTGTTTCTGAAAAGAAGAAGAAAACAGATCGGCCGATATATTGGATTTAAAAATTCTCAAATATCAAAATCTGTATTGGTCTTAAAAAATCTCGTATCTAGACCAATCAAAAAATCCATTTAATTAAGAAAATACAATAATTAATCAACAATGAAAATAATCATTAGTTGCAGCCCTAAAGTGTTTATTATAGCAACAACCACTCTTTTGAGACTAACCACTTACTCGGGCCTTGACATGTTAGACTGAGCTCCACTAGTAAAGTAAAGGTACATCATAAACAAGTCTGTATGCATTATATTCTGCGACAGTACATAATAACTTCTCAGCTTTGCTCAAACATAAAAGCGCGGCATGGTCACAGTGTGTAATACAGCTGCTTCATCTAAACACCAGGTAACAATCTGCACAGTCACAGCACAGCTACAGTAATATGTATCTTACCTTTGTGCAGTTATGCAACTACATACTAGGAACTTGCTTTCTTTGCACTCACAATGTCAGAGTTTCATTAGCTTTCATTAGGATCTTTGTCTGTTGTCCGTTATCATGAAAGGCTCTGAATGACTCCGTGATCATCAGCTTGTCAGAGCGTGCTTCGTGAACCTCAGCGTGGATAAATTATGATTCATTTGCCCAAGTGTCAGATGGCCTGTCCATCATTCGGTGCCGTGGTGCCATAGGCAACTGCTCAGAACCTGTTTCTAACACACATTTTTTTCATTGTGCATCTCAGAAAAGTTCTTCTGATACTCTCCTCTATGCCTACCGCACAAGGTCTTGAATTTCTGCACAATACGAAAAACCTCAGAGAACCTGTGTGTGTCTTTAGGATAATTTCATATTTCTTTGCCTATCCAGAACGTTGTTTCTAGAAAAACACACACCTCTGTCGAGTTTGTCGTAACAATGTCCTCACGTCAAGGTGGAAACCAGGATACCAACCAATCACGGATCTGTTTCTAACATGTAAATGAAAGCCTGATTGGATCATTGTTGTCTTCCAATACGTGTCTGTATGCTTTGTTATCTTGCAGACGATCATCGAGCTGTTTGTGAACAGGCTGGATTCAGTGGAGTCTGTTCTGCCATATGAATATACTGCGTAAGTAGCACTGAAACAATGTGTTGTATTATTGAATCCCTTTTGTCCTGGAGTTTCAACAGCTTGACCGTACTAAAGTATGCAGAAAGCCTCTACTTCTCACCTGTAACATACAGCACAATATCCACAGCCCTTAATGCTGAAGTCATGACAGTTTTGAAGTTTAAAAACAGAGTCACAGGGCGGAAAGAGTCGAGAAACCCTTAGCCCAGGTTACTGAATGCAGTGTGTAATGGTGGAGTAAAGGTGTTGTAGTTTAATGTATTCTGCCCCAAACACTTTGAATAGTCTCCTCCTTTTTGTGCAGGTTTGACTTTTGCTCAGAGAAAACAGTGAAACGTCCATCAGAGAATCTGGGCCAGGTTCTTTTTGGGGAGAGGATCGAAGCCTCACCATACAAGGTAACAAGCATCTAAATCTACAGACACACATCTACAGAAACCATCTGGGTAAAACTAGGCTGGACAGTTTTCTACTTTAATGGCAGCAGTTACAACGGGTGTGCACATGGTTCTGTTGGAATGAATGAAGATCTTTTTCTGGCTATGTTTACACACACAAAATAAGCACTGAGGGTTGTTGTTTGCAGATGCAATCCTATATATTCTTTAAATACAGAAAAGTAGATCCAATAAAGGAAAAAAGCTGAATATCTGCACGCTAGATTATAGCTCTTGAACCACAATAGACTTCCCAAACACTACCAGGTTATCATGCATATGGTTAACATGAGTGGCTAACAAAATTGGCGTCATGCTGACATCATGAAATTGCAAACTATTACACAGAGATGTATAAAAATATTTTAAAAGGGGGGTTATGCAGCATTAGATGGCAAAACTCTACAAGATCTAATAGACCCCACTGAAAAAAAGTGGTAGGAGGAGGGAAAATCCCTCCACGTCATGTTAACTATTTGCCCGATGAAGACTCAGTTGGAAGGTTTGGAGCTATAGTTCAGTGTGCTGTCACTCTTTTTTCCTACATGCACATAGTAGCTTCATTTACAGAGCGTAGAGCATCAACTGATGATGAAGGGGGGTTGTGAATTGCAACCATCTGTCCAGTCTACCACTGCCCCCTAACCTTTCAGTCCATTATAAACCACACATTAGAAACACATTAATTCTCTCTGTGATTATGGGCGCATAAAAGAAAAAAAAGTCCACACAACTCCAAGAGTATGAGTCCTGTGATCTACCAACTGAGCTAACCAGTGACACTGATATACACACTGAAATTACCATTAAACCACTCTGTTAAACTACTGTTTTGTTATCTCGACATCATGAGAAAATTATCCCGTTATCACGCGAAAATGCAGTTGAAAAAATATTTGAATGGATGGCTGCTTAGGGCTTCCATAGTACTTAACAGTTTGGACCGTAATCATATATGTACAGACATGGTCATTATGATAAACAATGTTTTAACTAATAACTGAATACTAAGTAAGTCAATAAAACAGACAAGACATAAAGGAAATGTGCTTTCAAATGAATTCAGTCAGTTTTGTTGCTCTGGCAGCTTTAGTTGTTTTTATGCACTCACTGACATTGTGTTGTTAACACAGGTAGGTCTCTCTTTTAACTACACTGTTAAAGTTATTCATGAACATCAGTCACTGGTCACAGCAGCATCTCTAAAGTCTTTGTCTTTGTAAAGTCATTGGCGTGGGGTTGCCGTCTTTAGTTCTGTCTGAAGGTCACTGTGTGCCAGACGTTAGCCGAGTGAATCCTGACTGTACACCGTTAGTGGCTGCAAGCTTTGGGAGTGAGCAGGAGTTCAGTCATCTGACAGGCATTTCAAATGTAGCAGTTGTCCCTCTTTGGGTCAGAGTTCAGTGCAGAAGGCAGAAACTCAAAGTGCAATAGTGTGGGAAATATTTTTTTAGTTTGATAGAGCGTGGCTTACAGTTTACTCCTGCTTCCAGTCTTTGTGCTAAGCTAGGCCAAACACATCTCCTGTTTGTCTGTGCTGAACGGACAGAGCTGATATTGATTTTGTCTCTGGGTTTGAAGTCAAACAAGAGGGTTCCCAAAAATGTTGGTGGGTTCCTTTATGGGGATGATGTGTGTCATTGCACCTTTGTTAGACATCATGACAAAGGGGTCATATTAACTCCTAACAATGCAAAAGTAAAGATACTAACTGTGTGTCCCATGTGTCAGTTTGAGTTCAAGAACCCCGCCGCGTGTCAGAAGGTGTGCACCAGAACCTACGACACCACCAACCCAACAGAAAAATCCAAACTGGAATTCCTCAAGAAAGGCATGTTACTCAACTACCAGCATCACTGGTATGTATGATTCACTGACAGACACATCATAAAGTGAAGTGAAATGCAACCACAGGCATATACATAGATATAAAATTAACTGTATACACACCAGAACACGACTCCCACGTAAAGGATTCTATAAATGGTTCCTGGAAACACATCAAGTAGGCCTCTATAACCAAACAGAAGTTGTTATGAATATAAATACAAGTTGTAATTTGTAATGTAACCAGCGTTCTCAAATGTTAAATTGTTGTCTGAACACAAGAAAGGTCAAGAGCAAGATCTTTGTCCCCAGGGGAAATTTAGTTTTGACAGAACAGTAGTCCCTGTCACTAATGTTAATTCTATAAGTCAAGAAAGTCACAGTTTGTCATAAAACTGTAAAAAGGGACACTTGGTTACTACTGGCTAGGTAACTTAGCCATGTTCCACGCACAGATGTATCTCACCTTAATCCAATGTGTCCTGGTCCTTCCATCACACCATCTACACATGGAAGTTGTGTAGTTGATTACATTATGCGGCTTTAGGGTGTGTGGTCTTTCTGATTACGTATTTTCACAGTATTCAACAGTTTGACGACAAACTGCTACCTTCTTGCCTTGCAAAATTATCTCTCGCCATGGACTACCCGGCATATTCTTACTAATATAAGGTCCCATGGTGGTCCACCGGAAGAGCAGGGACTTATGCCTTCTATGCCTAAACTCTTACTCTCCCGACAATGTGGCGGGTGGTAGAGAAAGAGAGTGAAATGTGATAACTGACCAACGACATGTAAACTGGGGCTTTTAGAGTTGTTATTTTACTCATCTGGCTGTTTAAGCGCAAGATATGTGACCATTACAGGCTTCTGTTTTGTGTTGCGCGTGTGTGTGTAGGATTGTGGATAACATGCCGGTCACCTGGTGCTATGATGTCGAAGATGGACAGAAGTTCTGTAACCCTGGATTCCCTATTGGCTGTTACGTCACAGAAGCAGGCCGACCCAAAGATGCCTGCGTGGTCAATGTGAGTAGGTCACACATGGACACAAACAAAGCCCTCTTTAACGGCATAATTAAAATATCTGTATGAACATCGCCTCCTACTCATGTGTACTCGGGCGTGTAGTTGTTTTCTCATGTTTCCTTACACATGTAAGGATTCCCATCAGTCAAGACAAAATAATACTAATATCAGATCACTAAAACTGTATGGTAGGGGTGGGTGATATCATATTTTGGGTGGTGGTGACATTTATCACGGTAGTATTAAAAAAACAAAAAAGGGATACTCCACTCAAAACATAATTCTCGGGGTGAGCAGCATGCATCACTGTCTGCCCCAGTGTCTTTTTTGATACCAGCAGGTGTCTCAGTGCCCAAAGTTAGAATGGTTCATATCCTGCACAGCTGTAACTGTAATAACACATTATTTCCCTGTCTGTACTTTGAACTGCTGTGCTTTTGTTTTCCAGTCTAACTTTAATGAAAAGGATGCCTTTTACATCTTTAACCATGTGGACATCACCATCCATTACCACATCGTTGAGCACGAACAACTTGGAGCTCGATTGGTTGCTGCAAAGATTGAACCCAAAAGGTAATGAATGACAGTTTTAGCTGATATGTAGGTATCTAGTGAAAATTTAGATGTCAGGTTTTTTACTTAGTGTGTTGTTTGGGGCTATTTTGACATTTGTGCCAATTGTTGAACTTTTTGTGGCTTCTGAAAGAGCTCTGGTGCTGTGTCCTGGTATAAAATCTATCCAATTTCACAGACTAGTAGCACATGTGGTATTATTTAGCGTTGTCATTTATTGTTTGATTTCAAATCTATTCCCATGTCTCTCTCTGTCTCTCTTCATCTGGCCAGCTATGAAAATCCTAATGATGACAGCCCTGATTGCTCTGGGGGGCCAAAGTTCCTGAAAAACAAACAAGCAGGAGTGTTCAAGATCCCATACACTTACTCTGTCAGATTTGTGGTCAGTACAATAACATCAACTTTGTGGGTTTAAGGCTGTCTGTGTTTTGTGAAGTTCCACAGATGACCAGACCTAGAAAATGAAAATGGACTGATGCTCCAGAGAGAGAAAGTGAAAAACCTGATGTAGCCCTTCTATAGAGAGCCTAAGCCCATCCCCTTCCGGTGGACCACCATGGGACCTTACTTCAGGAACATATGTACGGTAGTTAATGGCAGGAGACAACAAATTTTTGATGATGGCCAATTTAAAATGTGCATGTAAAAGTAAAAAAAGTTGCAGTTTGTCGGAAAACTGTTGAGGTATAAGACTGTGAAATAAGACTAGTATTACTGCGTTAACGTGTTGTACGAGACAAAAAATGTTTTCACACAAAACGACTGTTTTACAACAAACTGCAACTTTCTTGATGAACAAAATTATTATGATGATTATTATTCAGGGCACAGTTCAAACAGGATCAAAAAATAAGTTGTCTCTCACCATTCACTACCGTACATATTTTATTCTGAAATAAGGTCCCATGGGCCAGAAGCAGAAGCGAGTGACTTAGGCTATCTATAGGGACGGGTACAGTAACCCGGTATTGAAGGGGTCCTGGGGCTACATTATTACAGACTGTAGTATTGATACTATGTTATCGGAAATTTTATCGGTACTTTATAACGTTTTGGTTGAATTTATTGTCTTTTTATCACACTTGATAAATAAAAATATGGACAATCATGTGACAGAATTATAGATAGTTAATATAAAGAAAATGGATCCAGGAGATCTGGACGCCAATCAGATAGGACCTGAGTCACAGGACTTCTTCTAACATGGAAACAGAGATCTGGGAGCCTGTTAATGCTAATGGTCTGTAATTAAAACATCTTTCAGCAGATCATATGGTACAGACTTCAGTGCTGAGGTGCCTTGATTTTAAATATTATTGTTAGTTTATCAACATCAAGGTGAATATGTGAAATAATTTTTTAATGATTACCAATCCCTGTTGTGAAGAGCAAATTACACTTACAAACATTTTGATTTAGTGTGTGTGTGTGTGTGTGTGTGTGTCTTTGTAGGAAGACAAAAATATTCGCTGGGCGTCTAGATGGGACTACATCCTGGAGTCAATGCCTCACACCAACATCCAGTGGTTCAGGTAAGGCTCAAACACACACACATGTTGACACACATTTATATGACATTCACTTTGTGCTGGAATGTGCAGCTCAGATATGATTTATGGGGAACAAATGTAAAAATGTTTTGCAAGAGCCAGCTGTGGTTCTGAAGGTTGAGCCCATGTTGATGAATTTTCTGCCAGTGATGTTGACACAAATTCAAGTGGTAATCAAATTGCTAGTCAAGATTTGCGAGCATGCAGGGGCGGTTTTGTAACTGCTGACCCAATGTCTAAGAGAAAACAAGCAGCAATGTCTCTAGATTTCCGTAAGAAACAAGGGCCGTCTTTACTGGCTCTCCTGAGCTGGATTCCCTCAGTATGAGCCGTTTGTATGTCTTGTATACTCAACTGGATTTGAAGTGACAGCAGTGTGTGAAGCAACTTTCAGGGGATTCCTACTGTCCTCCCCCCAAATCAACTTGGGTTTTTCTGTCCAGTACTGGCCATGACACCACCATCCAACAAGAGTCCTGTCCTATAGGCGGCAGGCTTTTAGGTTGGGGCAGATTTTAGACAGCAGTCATCATCATTTTGGTTTACAAATGCCTCTGATGTCAAACATTATGTCTGCCCCACAGTGTCATAATGATACATTCAAACCATTGCTCAGGCCTGGCGTCTGTCAGAGACAATCCACATCAAAGTACTGACTTATCTGGCTTTGCTGTTTTTTTTCTCCCCAGCATAATGAACTCGTTGGTGATTGTTTTGTTCCTGTCTGGAATGGTAGCCATGATCATGCTGCGGACTCTCCATAAAGACATCGCCAGATACAATCAGATGGACTCTGTGGTGAGTACCTGTCTCTGTGGCTGATAGGACTCTGTTGAGCTTAGCTGGAGCTGTGGTCAGGAAATGTACAGCCATGATTAACTACCTTTATTTGATCTTATACAAGGCAGTCATGGCACTACTAGAACATGACACAGCTGTGTCTGGTGGACGTGAGAGGTCGGGCTGTGTTGTTCTCAGTTCTCATCATATCTGCACATCTATCTTGTTCTCCAGGAGGATGCCCAGGAGGAGTTCGGATGGAAGCTGGTCCACGGAGATGTTTTCCGACCTCCCAGGAAGGGAATGCTGCTGTCTGTTTTCCTCGGCTCTGGAACGCAGATCTTCATTATGACCTTTGTCACCCTTTGTATGTCTTTGTTATCTTCATGATTGTTTAGTAGTCATATATGCCAAACTAGCACCGTTATTGGATGCCTGACTGGTTTGTTTCTTCATGACTGCTCTTGACATGCCATCAGCTTTCATGTGTTTCTTCTGTCCATTCTTTATTTCTGCCATATCCACTCGATAATGAATGCCCCATTAAGTTTAAAAAGTGTCACAAGACATGGAACATCTCATGCCTCTCTTTCTTTAGGACTACTCCAGAAGTAGCGAATCTGAGTATGCAGCCTAAGTGCTAGATACAATTTGTAATGGAGTCCAGTAGGGGTAGATTGCACAAAGTCAGATGATGAGAGGTTGCTAACAAATCCCCATATTAACCACATTATCTAATCAATTTATTTGAAAGTTATAGAAAGTTGAAATTATTGGCCAATATTAGCTTATTACAGATATGTCAGTATCCACATCATCACTCTCTGTGCTGCTTAAGAAAACACCAATATTTAATAATGACAAGTATTCAATTTTCCCAAGGGGGCAAATTCAGTTTTTCACTCAGACCTGGAGATATGTATATTAAATGTGGAGCGATGCCAGAGTACCTCCCCAGCTACCAGTCCACACTCTGTGCAGTCTTGTCCATGTTGGACTTTTGAACCAATTCCCTTCTGCCTGAGCTACTACCACCCGCGTTTCACTGCCTTACAAATCAGGACAAATTAACAGAAAACGCAGCTTTGCACAGAACAGCACCAGTAGGAACAACAATTCTTGTTCAGAGCTCAAATCGAATCAGAGTTTAATCACGTTTGGTCAGTGATACTTTACGGGGAGGAAACTCCCACAGATTAGCTGACTGGCCGTGTTAATCTTGTGTTCTCCAGGAGAGTTTCATACCGATTCCAAGCCGCAGACGTGCTCCAGCTGAGTCACGTAACATTGTCTAAGGGAAAAATGAATAGGACTTTTACTTCCGAAATCAGGGGTGCCCAAAATAGCTTCTCCCACCTCGCAACTCTATAAAGACAAAGGCGTAAAACAGTTGGCCCAGTAGCATCCCACAATAGAGTAATGGGAGTTTCCTTTCTGACCAATCACTGACCAAACTTGATTAGACACTGAATTGACTTGGGTTATGTCTAGTCATGAGCAAGAATTTTTGTTTTGCACTTCAGGTCCACCGTCAGTGCCTAATATCAGCCAATATTTCATAATCAGATTTAAACACTTTGAAGTGTTGATATTGGTTTAATCCTGGAAGGATCAGTGGGGCTCTATAACTGTTTTACTTTTTATGTTATTACTTATTCTTATTCAACTTCAAATGTATAACTCCCCCCCCCCCCTCTCCAGTCTTTGCCTGTCTTGGGTTCCTTTCTCCGGCAAACCGTGGGGCTCTGATGACTTGTGCTGTTGTTCTCTGGGTCCTTCTGGGAACCCCTGCTGGATATGTGGCTGCTCGCCTCTACAAATGTAAGTGAGAAAGAAACCGGTGTTTTTTTTTTTTTTGTTGGAATTGGGTGAACAAATTCAGGTAGGCTTTACTTACTGTTTACTTGGACACAAAGAACACAAAGTCTCATTCATATAATAATCACAATCATACTGCTAATAAACACTGCAGCATTTGTGGCTGTGGACTATCAGCAGTAAATGAGAACTGAAAATCCTTCTTTGTCTTTGTGTTTGGTTAATTATCAGCTTTCGGAGGAGAGAAGTGGAAGACCAACGTTCTGCTGACAGCCTTCCTCTGCCCTGGGTAAGACTGTTAGCGCTGGCTCAAACACCAGACATAGTAACATACACAACACCAGACGCTTACTGCATGACAAAAATACGACCACTTGATCCCACTCTGTCAATCATTTACTTCTTCATCTAACATCCTCTCTGTCTCTGCTCAGGGTGGTATTTGCAGATTTCTTTGTGATGAACTTGATCCTGTGGGGCGAAGGGTCTTCAGCAGCCATGCCATTTGGGACCCTGGTAGCCATATTGGCCCTTTGGTTCTGTATCTCAGTGCCACTGACCTTTATAGGAGCATACTTTGGCTTCAAGAAGGCAGTAAGTAAATGACAAAATTTACATCCATTCATACGTAATACATTCTGTATTTGTTGGTATACATTTCATGCCAGTGGTGGTTTGCAGAAAGAGTGTGCTGCTGTCACAATGTCATCAGTCAAGTACAGCAAGTGCTCAAATAATAAAATAACACTACAGCAATACTAATTGATTTGTCGGGTCCATAGTCCACCAATTAACGGAAATAACCAAGAATGTAAAGACGCTACACTGCAATTCACATTAAAAAAGTACATGTGTCATTTTTTAACAATTCTTCAATGCTGTATTTTTTCTCGCGCTCTCTCTCTCTCTCTCATTTAAGGGGATTGAGCACCCAGTGCGGACGAATCAGATTCCTCGTCAAATCCCAGAGCAGTCATTCTACACAAGGCCTTTCCCTGGGATCATCATGGGTGGAATTTTGCCTTTTGGATGTATTTTTATTCAGCTGTTCTTCATACTAAACTCCATCTGGTGAGAATGTATAAAAAGCTTATTACCTTAGAATGAGCCATTTCTATCTACATACAACACCTTACATGGAAGTTGGCATGTTGCGCCGCCATGTTTCTACAGTAGCCCAAACGGACAAACTGCTCCACAGAGTGCGTTTCGTCACTATGTTGAATACGAAGGAGAATAACAAATAATGGTAGTAGTAGTAGTCGACTGGTTTATTAGAGGTATGAAAAGAAGATAAATGTGGACAAATGGAGGACCACATGGATTATTTAGCACAAGAGCTGTCTGCTGGCTTGCTCGGAAAGGGAGGGGTGAGGCGGTGCATTCATGTTGTGTCGGAATAATCAGAACCTTTTTTCCTCCTTAAAAAAGAAGAGAAATAAAGTGTACACAGGGCAACAAATAGTATACAGAACTTTTGATTTGTGCAAAATCATGTATTGCATGTGCATATTTTCCAAACATGTAATTTGTAATATGGTTATAATGGTTAGTTTGCTGTCCATGTAAAGTGAACTACATGTCTGCGTGTTGTTTAGATGCTCTGATAATACTAATCCAACACATCACTGTAATAGCGTCCATATTGATCCCACACTCTGACTTAAGAGCACATGAACGCACACTGAAGTCGGAAGAACAACTAAACAAATCAGGAAATGGGACCGTCCGATGAGCGCATGAATACACCGTGAGCAACTGGCTGCAATTCACGCCCCTCACCACTAGATGCCACTAAAACTTACGGACTGAACTTTTAAGGTCAGCCCTGTTCAGTCAGAGCTGTGGGAAGTCTTTAAATAGTGATGCGACTCACAATCTCTTAGAACCTCTTAAAGCTGAAACACATTCACCAGTATTAAAACTAGCCAGATATAAAAAGAAGCACAATTCTCTTATTTTGTGAAAACCCCAAATAAATGAATGAATTAAATAAATTAATTTGGCAGAACTAGATATTATCAACATGTTAAATGAGTCTACATTTACCGAACATGGTGGCAGACTGACCAAAACATGCATATCCATCCAGTGAGGTTTTTTTAATCTGTTGTATTTACTGTAGTCTCGTCTGTAAGTCTCAGACATGTCTCTTCCTGTCATCCAGGTCCCACCAGATGTACTACATGTTTGGCTTCCTTTTCCTGGTCTTCATTATCCTGGTCATCACCTGCTCTGAGGCCACCATCCTGCTCTGCTACTTCCACCTATGTGCTGAGGTAAACAGCACACAGATCAATGCAAGACCTTTAACATTATCATCTTCATGCTTCAGGGATGATATTAATACTGACATTGTTGCATCAAAGTTGTTAACAGCAGCTGTTTTCTCCCAATATTCCTTATCTATTATGTTGACAAGTTTTAAACATAAAAGTACCGTTGCTGCTGATTGTGGGGTAGAGAAGGGTCAGGGTTCGATTTTTTTGAGAAGTGGTTGAATAAAATTTTGTTTGAAATAAGCAGGGACACAACCAGACATATTTACACAGAGATGCTGGTAAGATGTCAAGAGGGCTAGAGGAAGTTTTCATACATTTGCAAGATGTTGGAGTGAGGCTGGAGGCAGGAGAAAAAATTCAGGTAAATTTGGCTGAGAGGAGATGGGGGAGAACGTGAGGGGAAGGTGTTTAATCTGATGTCGCTAATCTTACCAACAAAGAATGAAAGTCAGGTGTTGCCGTCCTCACTTGAAAAAAATCAGAACAGCAGGAGTAACGACACTATGAAATGTGTGAAAATAAAGGTTTGGGATTGTGCCAACAGTCAGGTTCTGGCATCCTTAACCCAATTATTTAAAATCAGTAGCCGTGTTTCCATCAACGCATTTTGAAGTATCGCATTAGATTTCGCGCAAAAGTTTTTACGCTCGCTTGAGGTGGCTTTTGCCTTTGTTGAAAAAGAGTAAATGCGCTAAATGGGAGATGGAAACTTTTGCTGAATAAGTTCTGACTGGGGCTGGACGATATGGCCAAAAATGTTATCACAATAAAAAGTTTCATATCTTTCGATATCGGTAATTATCACGATAAGTATCAAATCGTTATTTCTTTTGAGTTTAAAGGCTGGATAAACACTTGATGCCAAACAGTGGATCACTTCACAAATCTGAGGTAGAACATTCAAAACAACTGATAGAATCTTTGTCAAAAAATTTGCATGAGTAAAATTAAGGAAAAGCTTTTTTCAGTCCATTTTCCTCTACAAAATAAACATCTTAATGCAAAAAATAAGTCCTAATTCAGTGGATTAAATCAAACATTTATTGAATATTTAATGAACATTTGTTATATTGTTATTAGAAAAAAAAAAATTGCGATAATTATTGTTATTGTTTTATTGTCCAGCCCTAGTTCTGACGTAGCGAACTTGTAACTCACGTCTGATCAGCTGTTTCCGCTGTCGGCGTCTTGCCGGATATTCCCATAACATGCGGAGACATGGTTGGTTGCAACTTGCCTGCTTGAAACACGTTTCTGAGGACCTCTCTCCATTTTTCTAAGATCAATGGCCATCAGTTCCATGCGGCTGGTTTTGTTTCTGGTTTGGAACCCATACGTCTTGTTTATTACAACCATGTGTAACGTCAGCTACTGATGTAACTACACTTGCCGTAGCCTGGTTTATTCGCGTCAAACCAGCTGATGGAAACACACATATTTCGCAATTACTACATTTCAAAAGTACACTTCACATTTGCATGACAATTAGATGGAAACATGGCTATTCAAGTTCTTTTAAATAAAAATAGTGAACTTGTAGGTGGATTCCTACAAGCACTCGACTCTGACAGTCTTGCTTGACAGAGAGAAAATTGTCATTTACCCACAGGGAGCAACTGATCAAAGGAGCTGGTCTAGTTTTAATAGGGACCACTTGATCCAGTGCTGAAAGGGAGTGTTTACTAAGCAGCTGCACCAAGAGTCAACATCAAGCAGCAGAAAGGTGGTTAAGGATGCGAGAGCTAAAAACAGGTCGGCAGGGTAAGGAATCTAGATTAAAAGACTAATCAACTAAAATCCAGTTGTGATCAGTAATAAAAAGCTCCTGTGTAAATAAAAAATGTATATACAAACCAAGAGTAAAAACAAAGTCTAGCGTATGTCCTCTGTTGTGTGGAGGGCTTGACACATATTCAGTGAGAGTTAAAGATATTAACAAAACTTGTGAAAGTTAGTCAGAACAGCATCAGTTAATTTACATCTTAGCTTAGTCAATGCATTTTATTATCAACTGAAACTCTTTCCTCAAGTCTGATCGCTCTGAGGGGGATTAGCTTAGTTATGAGAATTACAAATATCTGTTGGGCAAACAGGACAAGTATCTTAACAGTTTACTGGGCCATCTTATTTAATACTTCAGTGATGTTGGAAGGGAAGACGTTCTCCAGGTTCTTTACAGAGATCTGTGCGTCGGTCCTGCTGGCGCTTTGCTCAGTTGGTTTTGTTAGCACCTCTCGTTAGCGCTGCTCTGTACCATCGCTTGCATTTAGGCTTGCTTATATCCTTTGCCAGCATTCAATCCCAAGTGACAAGTAGTAGCCAATCACAGCACAGTAGGGTGGGACTTCACCAAAAGGCAGGAAAAAAATAACACGAATCAACATCGAGTGGAGCGAATAAGACAAGTGACGAGAAGACTGCACTGACTGAGAAGATGGTGAGAAAGTGCATTTTCTGTATCGAGTAGTATGAGTAGTAAAACCTTTTAAAATATTCAGAATCGATATGCATCTAAAAATCCAGAGCTGTCTCAGTTTCACGGACTCTCCTCCTTCAGTATTTGTTGGAGCTTCGGTGCTGCAGTCCTGCAGGGATCGTCGTGCCGCTGGCAACGTTGACTGTAGAGAACTCACCCATAGATTTAAAACACTGTGATCCACCATAGACACTCTGATATGGCTTGGATCATAGAACGAGCTGCAAGTCCATCGTTGACAAAAGGGAGAAAGAACAGAGCAACACACAGGACAGGTAGGACAAAAAGGGAAAGCCAGGAAACACGGCAGGCGCCATCAACAGGAGCTCCAACCTTTTAGGTCTAGGAGCAGGCGATTCAGACAGGAGATGTCTGCGATCAGAAAGGGCCTTTATTGGATTTTATTGAACCAAAGGATCTCTTGACATGTTTGTATTTGTTTGTAATTGATTTAGATTTAGTTCTGATTTCACTCACCAACATTGACCTGTAATTCATGTTTCTGCAAAGCAGGCTCTGTATGACAGGGGCCACTCGCTCGTTAACCCCTTTAGTGAGGGCCTAAATTTACAAAACTGAAAACTGAACATCTCAACTCAACGTTGTTCCTCCTCTTCACAGGACTACCATTGGCAGTGGCGTTCCTTCCTGACCAGTGGCTTCACTGCTGTCTATTTCCTGGTCTATGCCGTTCATTACTTCTTCTCGAAGCTGCAAATCACTGGACTGGCCAGCACCATCTTGTACTTTGGATACACCATGATCATGGTTCTCATCTTTTTCTTATTCACTGGTAGGTATATAAAAAAGTCAGGAGAGGTGATGGTTGATGTATTTTTCCATTCTGGATCATCATGGCTGTCATCTGTCTCATGCATTGTACTTATGCAATTTTTAGGTTAAAAGGAAAGTTCTCCCCAACCGTAGCCCTGCACCACCTAAACTCTCAACGTCCATGAGAAAAATACGTTAATCTCACTCACGTTAACAGTTTTGATGTTGTTGTGGTCACTTGGGTGCAGCGCAACAAGCTGTAAACACAACAGTGACATATAATCACCCTGAAGGTTATTTGGCAGCATGTCAGCAAAAGTTGCCCATCTAATAATCAATCTGTTGAAATCTCACTGACATCAACAACACAGAAAAAATATCTGGCTGTTAAGTTGCTAAATGCTGCACTCCCCACATGTTTCTCTCTCTGCTGTTGGGTTTATCTGATCCTTTTAACTGAAAAACAAAACAAAAATACTAAAAAGTTCTGTAAAGCTGAGGAGACGTGCAGATTTGGTAATAATATTCTGTGGGGTCATCACTTCAAACGACACCTTTCACTTTATACATAATCAACTGAGACGTTGTTGATATAAAAATATTGAGCACCTTTAACTTTTACATCTGATGTAAATTCCTTATTCCAGGGTCCAGATGTATAAACAGTGTTTACGCACAAAAACCATGCATGTGCCCTACACATAAACTGGTGTTTATAATGGAAGAACATGCAGTGAGAATGTGTGCGCCTTCAGACCAGCATACACACAGCTTTCTAGAGCCGCTGAAGGTGATATGATAAGGAGGAGATTAAACATATACGGACGTAATCGAAAACAGTAAAATATTGTTAAAGTTGTTTGTTTCACTCATTGTCTTATAGTTTTTTCAATTTTTGCAAAACAATTTCAATCAAAGACACCTTTTATAAACTTTAAGTTTAATTACAATTATGTAAATTATGTATTTATTATAAATATTTAAAAAATTGTGATGAATTGTATTATTTTTTAAATTCACATTTGAGCCATTATTTCCCTGTGTTAACGATCTTTTCATTTTATTCTCAATTGTGAAGCACTTTGTAAAGTCTGTTTCAATATGTGCGTTATAAAATGTATCGTTGATTCATCTTTCTCACGTTTAATAATTACACCTGATCTTCACCGCTGTTGGAGAACCTCGCTGATGCAAGAGAGCCAAACTGCACTTCAATATGCAAATGCATGATTAAGAGCATTTCTGCATCCATTTATTGCGAGCTGTGGGAGTGGAAATGGGTCTTGTGCACGTGCATCCAGTTCCACAGTGATTTATAAAACAGTTGTGTGTACACAGTTTTAGCTGTGAGTGTTATGCATCTGGCCCCAGGTTAAAATAGGGGGAAACGTTGAGGCAAATTTCTTTGTTTTTGTTGTTCACTGAAGACATTTGGGTTTAAGATCAAAAGAAGAGTACGAGACAAGAGTTCAGAATTTCAGCTTTCATTTCCTGGTATTCACATCCAGATGTGTTAAACAACTCAGGACATATCACCCTCACCGTTGCAATACTTTTAGAAGGGACTGTATACAGTATATCATGGTGATTTGGTGCAGTGGGTCAAGAAAACCTTTATTTAGTGAAGCTGTAATTAAAATGTCTATTTTCTCTGTCCTCAGGTACTATCGGCTTCTTTGCCTGTTTCTGGTTTGTTACAAAGATCTACAGTGTGGTCAAAGTGGACTGAAGGATACAAAAGCACAACGGACTATACATGAGGTTACGTTCTCCCATCAACCTTTGGAGCATTCAGCACTGTCAAACTGAACGGAGAATTACAACCTGAACATTCACCTCCTCGTGCAGAGAGGCCTCCGGCCGACGAGAGCATGTGTACACTGGGTTGTAATTTTGTACATACAGTATCTATCTGCATATAATCTGAATGAAATGAATCATAACTGTACACGCCTCTTCCCAATATGTGACACACAGAAAGGTTAGTTTATACCATGCTACCTTCACAGAGTGCAGTGAGCTATTGGCGTTGGACTGTCCACAGACTGTGTCAGCGGTCATGTCATGCATTTTAGGTTTGTTTCAAAATCCGTGCACACTGTTTGCAGAATTATAGTCCTACAAATAAAACTGTGAGGGTGTGCTTCTTGACGGCTACTTCCTCTCACTGGTGATATTAAATGTGTGCACAGGTGTGGAATATGCCGGTGTTACTATTTTAAATGTGATTTTTGTGCAACGCATCTCTGAAGAAGCTTTAGCAATCTGCAGTCGCACGTTGTGTCTAAAAAATGTGTCTACGTGCACATTTCTACACAGTTTATGTCTAAATGGGTCTATATGGCTGTTCCTTTCTAAAGGCTACTCCAACTGCAGCCGCTCCTTTTGTTTAAAATTTGAAGGTGACAACTTGTGAGTGCTTTGTCGTTCCCACTTTTCTCAAAGTATTGTGGAACAGTTATCATTTCTGAGTTTCCGGGATGAACTGATGAAGTCTGACGTTTTGGAAGTCATAGTTTGACCGCTTGTGCACAGTGCAGGGCAATATGAACCTATTTCAGAGAAAGTATTACATTCTGATCTATCAGAAAGCCAGAAAGTCCAGTCCCACTTTGGCGCTAGGGGCATGTTGATGTGTCAGGATACATCCTTGTCCTGTTTCCCAGCAACAACTTGTATTCTCGCTCCAAACAAGCTGCAATGTTAACGTACTCGCTCCTGAGAGAGCTTCTTCTCAGCCACTCATTTTGTCTGCATGATGTGTTCAGTGTGTGCTGAGAGCAAGAAATTTAATCATGCTCCAGTCAGCGTGCCATGCCATCACACAAAGCACACACAAATGCTTTGTGTGAGTCTTTAGTTTAGCTTAAGACTCATGGGAGCTGTAATTCTTCAGCTAGGGCCAACAAATCTTACCAGCAGGCAGTAGTTAAATACCCATTAGGCTTACATTTAGCGCAGAAAACATGAATATCATGTTGGCTCAGCTTTTTAAAAAGACTGATTAAAAAAACAACAAAAAAAAAAAACACTTTGCTGCAAAAATACAAGGTTATCCCCAGGCTAGTGGTATACAAGTAGTGGAATCCTGTAGTAATTTCATTTCTCTCAATGACCTAGCAGATGATGCAAACTAAGGACTTGTATATTTTAAACAAGTGTTTTTTTTTTTTTGGTTACATGCATTTCTCTATACTGAGCTCATTTAAAAAAACCAAACCAAAACACAAGGAAAACCATGTTTCCAAAATCTTTCACTCAGAACGCAATGACCTAAAAAAAATCTGTAGCGTTACAGCATGTATCACTGTTGTCTTAATTTTTTTGTTTTCTTTTGTTGCATAAACCAATAAGACACCTCTTTCCTGCATGGGTTGTGCTACCTTACACTATGTTTCAGACATGAATCCGAAATGCTGCAGCATGCTTCAGTTAGCTTTATTTTCATAAACACAAGTAATTCCAGTAAGCAAGTAAAGCAAATATATATATTCATTATAAATACATGTGTAGGGCAGCCACATATATAGATATACAGCAGTACCGTTCTGTATTTGACCACAAGGTCTCATCCAGATCACATTTACAGTTACTCATTTGGCTTTTATCCAAAGCGACTTACATTTGAGTTCACACCTTATGTCCCCTCTTGCCTCATTCATCTAGGAATAAAATGAATTTTTAGTTTTAATTTTAATGTTTTGCGAATTTTATGTAGTAAATTGCATTCTAATTTACAATAATGTGTTATGTATGTAATAAATTTTAGTTTTTCCAAATATTACGTAAACCTGCAAAATGGACTGTAAATGCACAGATTTGGTGACAGTTGGGTTATTTGTAAAATTTGAAAGAGGTCGCTTTAATTAAGTGCATTTTGTGTTAATTACACACTGACTGCAGTTGTGCTTTTGAAAAATGAACACAATATTGAGAAATGTGTGTAACCAAGTGTTAAAAACTAAACAAAAGCAAAAGCTTTTAATGAAGCTCAATACCGACTGGAGATTGAACAGCCAGAAATCTCATCACTTGGTCAAGTCATCGTCCCTCACAGCCAACAGTGCACACCACGTTATTGCCAAATCAGGAATAAATACATCTCTTCACCTGTGAAAGTCATTTTTGTAAGAGCTGGACACCAGAAGACTAACTTGCATCTTTAGTGAGGTTTTTCAGCCAGCTGACTGACTGCTTATTATTTTCAGCTTATATAAATAGGTTGGTTTGTCCTTGTCCCCAGCTTTCTGTAGACCTGGTTTGTAAAGTAAATTGGTGGAACAGGCCATGTCATCAGAGGCTTTACCTTGACCTTTATGGCGTTTGAAACATTTATTGTAAAGAACTTTTTCTAATCTTAAAAATGTAGAGTAGACTTTTTTTGTTAACATGGAAACATTCTGCTAATAATGTGTATTAAACTATGGTTTGTCAGTGTTTCGGTGTTAACCAAGTTGGTCTAATAATTAAATTGGATTTTTTTCTCTCTCATTTGAATTCTTCAGTCTTTCCTCTCTGCTCCCTTTGTCCTGTATTGTCTTGGAATACATCCTGATTAAATGTTAAAAGATATGACAAGGAAAGGACAACTGATCTCAGATTCTGATTTAAAGCCAACGTTTTCGTACTGCAGGATTAATGCACAGGTGGTGTTGCATGGCTTATTGAAATGGTCATGAGAGTGATGGTGTTTGGGAAGAAATTGATGTCTTTGATGTGGTTGTTTTGGCTCTGGAGTGTCTGTAACAGATGGGAGACATTGGAATAGGATCTGTCCACAGTCTGCAAAGATTTTCCCAGTCTGATGCAGTAGGTACAAGCAGGGCAAATGATTGCAATACACAGTCATTACAAGTCTTCGATGGCTGCACCTGCTGCCACACAACTAATATAAAGGTCGATAACCCTCCTGCACTCATCTTAGTTTTTTAATAGTTAACAGTTAATTCTTTATTTTCAAGGTTCAGGTTTCATATATTTGTCATTCTACAATTTAGAGCGTCCCAATGAAATTAAAGTCTTCCTTCACACTTCACACACAGAACATATATACTAGAATAACAATAAAAACAGTGTATACACTTATATATATTATACAAGGTAGTGGTTTGGTAATATATGGTGGAGTGGAGGAGTCTGAGGGAAGAAGCTGCTCTGAAGTCTGGTGAAACGGCAGCGGATACTTCTGTATGTCTTCCAATTAACATCAATTGAAATAGCATGACACGATTTGATCCTACCAACTATAACAATATGGAGGACATAATACAACACCTCCTCCTGCCTTGATCTTTTGATAACAGGGGTTTTCCTAATTGCATGGCGTCAGATCTTCTACAAATTGTTAACACATCTCTTCGCTCATGTGCCTTCCTACGGGCCCTGAAAACTGCAGTCATCAAGCCACTCTTTAAAAAAGACTAATCTAGACACATCACCAATTATAGGCCCATATCAAACCACCCGTTTTTAAGAAGAGGTTACAGTCAGTCTGGCTCAGATAATGAAAATCAACAAATATATAATTATGCAGACAACACAAAGATTTACATAGTCATATCACCAGGACTATGATCCCATACAAGCACTGAGCAAGTGCATTTAACAAGTCAACAATTGGATGCGCCAGTATTGCCTTCAATTAAACAAAGATAAAACTGAAGTCATTGTTTTTGAAACCAAAGAAGCACGATTAAGTCAGCACTCAGCTGTTGTAAACTAAGGACCAAGCCAGAAATTTTAGAGCTTTTTTTATTTTCTGTAAAAGTTGACAGTTACATTTTACAATAAATCTTAATTGAACGTTACGAAGCAAACATTAGAGCCGTTCTCACGTACGTTAGCTAGCTGTCACCGCCCTACATCAGTATAAGCTACATTAGCTTTTTCTCATGCAGACGACATCTGAATGTAGTCTGGCCTGACAGGCTTCATCACAAACATTTATTGTTGTTTTGTATCTTTACGTGGAGTTTAAATTGGAGTCTGTTGTGCTGGGAGCCGGTTTGTTTTGTGGCGTTAGTTGACTGCATTTCATTAGCTGTGGTGTTGCTGTACTCTGAGAGAGGCTCGGGAGCGCACATGTAGCTACATCCCGACCCGATACATTACAGTTTTTCTCAAATGCTAAAACACATTTCACAAACGTTTTGTCCATGTTCTCCAATGTCTAAACACAACACCCTTTTCTAAAGCTACATAAACACAACCACACCTTCTCCCTTCAAAACTCAAACTTTCACACCAAAAGAGCAGCTCGAAGCTTTCAAAAATGTAAACACTATACACATCATTACACACTACAGCAAAACAATTGAAGACAATGCTCAATTTGTGAGAAGGTTCTTTGTTTCATAACTGCCAATGCATATTTAGAAACTTTACAATAATGGATCTTCTTAGATCTCTGCAGAGGATTGGGCATTTAGATTTGTGAGTTTCATATGAAGAGTATAAATCTATAGTAAATTCTGTACACTACTGTAACAACTCAATGCAAAAACAGAATCTATTGCACACAACAGTACTCTTGAAAACATGATCAGGGTGTGAAGTTTTTTTAATTTATTTTATTTACACCACAATCACTGTGCGGCATCATGTCGCTGAGCTGCATCGGGCCACATCACCTCATCCATATCGCAGGCTATATTGTCTCTTGCCAGGCACCGCGGGAAAAACGCCCTGGAATGGCGGATCCATCCTTGGAAGTTCTCCACTGGGATGTCAACACACGCCAGCTCCATTGCCCTTAGGAGGTTCTCTCTAGTGTATGGTTGTCTGTCATAAACCTTCCATCTCCACGATGAGAAGAACTCCTATAGGGTTCAGGAAAGGGGAGTAGGGTGGCAGACAGACGTTTAAAAAGTGGTTACTGTTGGTGGTGAACCACTCTGATTTGGTTTGTTCTGTGGAAGTGTACATTGTCCCAAATGATGGATGGTGTTGTTGGCGGTCCAGGAGGATATCTTTTAGCTCCTCTAGGAAGGTTAGGAGACGTTGGGTGTTGTAAGACCCAAGGACAGCCTGCTGGTGGACAAGCCCCTCCAAACCCATGGCCGCACAAAGAGTAATATTACCCCCCCGTTGGCCAGGAACCTCAGTGATGGCTCTTTGGCCAATGATGTTACGGCCTCTTTGCCTTCGTTTCTGCAGGTTGAAGCCAGCCTCATCCAGGAAGAGGTACTCATGAGGTCTGGCCATCGCGTCCAACTGTAATATCCTCTGTGAAAATGTGAAAGTGCACAGGTGTTCAGAACAGTCAGTCAGGTAGCATAGTATTGTCCAGAAGTAATGTAGGCCACTGAGCAACACAGTATGTTCACTAACTGTACTGTGAACATGGATCTATACTTACTTGCACATACTCGTAATGTAGGTCTTTGTGTCGTGCAGAGTTTCGCTCAAAGGGAACCCTATAGACTTGTTTCATCCGCATCTTTTGGCCCGGAGAACTCGGTCTATTGTGGCCAAGCTGACATCATCAATGCCCTCAAAGTTCACATTATCGGCAATGACTTTGTCTCTGATCTCCCGGAGTCTGATGAGGTTGTTCTCACGAACCATATCCACAATGAGGGTTTCTTGTGCCGCTGTAAATATGGCAACCCTCCCACCTCTATGTGGCATTCTTTCAACTCTAAAGAAAGAAACGTGTTGTCAATTGACATGTTTTACAATACAGTAACAACTGATTTGAAACTAATAGACTACTTTCACAGGCTTGTAAAATTGTATTGTGACAAAGAAAGCAATAGAGTACAATACCTGTTGTGTTGTGTGAATGCCCTGATAATGGTGGCCACGGTGAACCTACTCAGGTTTGGACGGACTCTTAGTCCTGCTTCAGCCATTGTCATGCCATGGACAATGACATGGTCAATGACTGTTGCTCGCATCTCGTCCGTAATGATGGTGCGAGGTTGTCTTGCTCTCCCTCCTGGACCTTCTCCTCTCCCTTGTTGGCCTCCTCCTCTTATTCCTTGGCCTGCTCCTCTTCCTCCCTGGCCTGCTCCCTGGCCTGCTCCTCTTCCTCCCTGGCCTGCTCCTCTTCCTCCCTGGCCTGCTCCCTGGCCTGCTCCTCTTCCTCCCTGGCCTGCTCCTCTTCCTCCTTGGCCTGCTCCTCTTCCTCCTTGGCCAGCTCTTCTCCCTCCTCTGACTCGATTACCTCTTCCCCTGACTCTGCCTTCATCCATTGTGTTTGTTTGAAATCTTCAGCAAACTGTGCACTCTGAACTTGCTTTTATACATGTGGTCACAGCATTAGCAACAGGTGTTTTCAATTTTGAATCGTTGTGTGTAATGAATGACGCCAGGTGTGTTCATTTTGTTCAAATATTGCTGACTGTGGCAAGCATTTTG